ATGTTATTTTTTTTTCTGAAAACCATTATTTTAAACAGTATTGTGAAAGATATTTTTAATATTGTTTTCTAAAATAAAATGCCTTGTATAGTACCAGGATGATGATACATACCTTTTATCTCTGTTAGTTTTCTGTTTTTTTTTCACATCCCCTGCTTTCAAGAAGCTCTCGTTTCATTCTTTAATTATGTATTAAATGAGAAATGTAATACATCATCATGTAATTCAGAGGCATCTGTGCTTTGCATTCTCTAAAGCTGATAGACTGGCTTCACATTTGTTCACATGTCTTTTTGTCTGCCATGTAGTCATCATCTTGCTGTGACTCTGGAGTGGATTCTTCTGCTTGAGTAGAGCAGGGTTAGCACTTCGATCATGGTCTCCAAAACTGAGTCCTGTCTTTAGTAAATCTATCTTTGCTTATTGCTTTTCTCAATTGCCAAAGGCCTAGAAGACTGTGAATCCAGTAAAATGTTTTGTGTATGTATTCGAACTTAAACCATTTCCTTTTTCTCAAACAGACATTTTAGTTTTAGTTTATCTGGGCAAGTCACAATTTATGTGGTATTACACCTCCTGTAACAGAAATACAGTCTCTGAATTCCCTTCTTCCTGTGATCCATCACTTGTTTCAGGTTAATGTCATACCTTTACTAAGTTGAGGATAAATAGAGGGCTATTGGTGTCTCAGGGCTAGAAAGTGACTTTGGAAGTTGTCTTGATGTGTGCATATTGTCACCTTTAAGTTACCCAGTGTAACAGATGTGGATGTTGACATCTTTTTATTTCTTTGCCCCAAATGTCTGCAGTAATCCATCTCTAGGCTAAAGTGAGTTTCCTGAGATGAAGCTGTAACCAGAATCCTAGGCCAGATGTATGATGGGGTGGACAGTGAATGGTGTCCCCCAGGAATTAGATCCTGCCACTCACACTTAAAAAGGCAAACAAAGGTAATGTCGAAAGGCAGGGAAGGATTTGAGTCACCGAAGCCTTGTTGTGAAGATAGAGGTTGGGTTTCCCAGTCCAGTGTCAGGACATTGACATGAGCCTTAGATCCAGACAGGAAACACTGGAGTAGGGTGAGGATGTGCCCCGAGAAGGCTTGGCCAAACTGTAGTCTGGCTGTTCACTGTTTCCAGTACTTGAGGGGCAATCTGGTTCCCCTGAGGTGATCCTTCGTGCTTTGGTTGGGAGAGGGACAGCCTCAGTTTACATTGTGGGGCAATTGTTCCCATTTAGAAGTGATCTCATTATGAGATGATCTCTGTTTCTGGAATCTGTGGGAACTACAGCTGTAGGACAGTGAATGAAGACTTTCAGAGGCTTTTCAGGGATTTGAACAGGACTTTGTAAAAGCTGACAGTAAACACCATCACTATTGTTATGTCTGTGCCTCAGCACTGAACTAGGGTGAGGTAGATTAGATAAATTTGGGCCTAGTCAACTTTGTCTCACGAATTTTAGATAGTATGCTTATGTTCAGAGCTAATAAGACTCTGATCCAAGATAAAACAGGCACAAAAGATGCTGGACTTTTACCTCACTTTTAGTATTTGAGCAAGGAGTATCCAAGTGCTTGTTCCGTAACCATAGGTAAGTCAGTCTACAGGTAGCAGCCAGTGGTGAAGGGTCTTACCTGAGACTGAATTGGTTTTGTTGTTGAATTATAAGCTGTTTCTAAGTGGAGATTTAAATAAAAATAGGTTGAAAAGTAAGCCCACTGAAGGCAATGAATACATACCTATACAAACGTCTGTCAGCTAGGACCTCCACACTGAAATATGATTCAGCAGTGCAGTATGGTAGCCACTGTCTAGGCTGCAGCATGGGAGGTTGTCAGCGTTGTGCTAGGAGAAAGAGCTGACACAAGTGAGGCTGCATGGTTCTGTTTTCATAGCAGAAAGTCTGGGCCAGCTGTGGTTGCAAACGCCTTTAATTACTGCAGTTGGGAAACAGAGGCAGCCAAATCTCTGAGTCGGAGGCTAGCCTGATCTACATAACAAGTTCTGGGACAGCCAAGACTGCATAGAGAGACCTGTTGCTATGACGACCAACCTTCAGCAGCTCAGGAATTAAGAGAGAGCCATGGAGTCAACGAACTGATCAATTTGACTTTTCTGTCTGAGGGAGTAAAACTGAATTCTGTGGGGCTGGCAAGCAGGGCAAAATTTAACTCTCTGGGACCAATGAAAAAGGGAAACACGCATGCATGCACGCACGCATGCTTTCAGGATCTATCATCTCTCTTCTCTCATTTCTTTTTTTAACCTCTATCCAGATGTATCCCCTTCTGTGTGTCATTAATTTTTTCCTTATAGCTTATATACCCCAGTAAAATCTTTCAAGCAATATTAAAATTACAATGTGGTTATATTCTATTTTTTGCATGAATGATCACAATGAATACAAGTAAAGAACATCGTGTTTTCTATGTCCCTTACATGATGAAACATTTTATGTATTACAGGTGAAAAACAAATTCTCGCCAAGAACCCACATACATTAATGTCCAAGCAGCTTGTTATAGATTAACAGAGTATAAACAAGCAACACATTTTTCTCAGCCAGTTCTTTTTCTGGCAGGCTGCATTTTACAGCCACGAAGAAAGGATCAGTCACTTTATTATTTATATCTAAATGTTTTCTTATAAATAATCTTTAAAAAGAACAAATATAAACTTTCATATATAAAAAACAGTCAGCTCTACTTTAAGTTCTCAGGGTGCATACCTATTCATCAACAGTTTTGTTTTTTTTTTTTTTTAATCAGGAAGCTGAGAGCAGAAATGGGTACAAGGAATTAATCATCACCTTTGATCACCAACACATCCTAGCAAGAAAAGCACATCAGCTAATAATAACAGGGCTGTCTTTGTTCTTGTTTCTTGACTTCAATGAATCCCTCATTTACCTATGTGTCTTTTTAAACTTTAAATTGTTCCCCAAGATTTTCTACCTTGATTCCATTAACAAAAACATCTTAGTTTAACTTAAGTCATAACTTAAAGCTTTTTTTTTTTTTTGCTATAATGCACACAGAAACCCGTGAACACATTTCTCCACACTAAGATTTTAAGAACTTCAGCTAACTTAACTTCTGGAACACAATTGTTTTTCTTTTCATTAACCTAAGCCACAGTCTATATAGCTCCTTAAGAGAAACCTGTAAGTCCTACCTGTGTGACACTTTCTTGTTCTTATTTTCTGTCCTCTACAGCTTCTTCTTTATGGGGAGGGGGAGCAACAGTATATCCTACCTTTACCTATATTATTTTTTCCACTAAAATAACCTCTATCATAATTCCTTACTATATTAAATTTTTTAATCATCAAAAATGGTATCTAACATTATTATTGTATAAAATCATTACTTCACTTAAACAGTACAGCTTAAGAGGAAATCATTTTCATAATAATCCACAGGTGAAAATGCCCAGTAGAATGGGCTATTTCTGTTAGATAATCACAGTATATTAATGGCACTGGGGATCCCCCCCAAACCCATTCACACCATGCCAGGTACCAGAGAACAATGGCAGTGCCAAACATGTAAAGGCACAACAGTAGCAAGAGACATTCTGGGGCCAATGAACTTGGGGCCTTGCTTATCCAAGATTCACCCACCAGTGCCTTGCCTTTTGGTGAGCCATTCTCCTGAAGTCCGTTTCCACGTGCTGCTCCTCTGACATGGCTTCCAGCAGAGACTCTTTCTTTAGAAAATAAACCAACAAAACCCAGCTAAACTGGGTTTTCTTGTCCCTCAGTCGCTCTTGAATAAACACACTGGAGCTTATATTAATTATAAATGCTCAGGCTTATTACTAACTAGCTCTTACAACTTAAATTAGCCCATTTCTATTAATCTGTGTATTTCCACATGGCTTGTGGCTTTACCTGTCTTCCAGCATGTCTTACTCCCTCTGTGTCTCTCAGCAACTCCACTGACTCCGCCCTTTTTCCTCCCAACATTCTCAGTTTGGTTGTCCCACCTATAATTCCTGCCTGCCTACTGGCCAGTCAGTTCTTTATTAGCCAATGAGAGTAATATGTATCCACAGCAGACAGAAGGATTTTATTCCACAGCACTAAACAACAGAAAAAAAAAATGGAAACTATGGAGCTTAGAATTTAGCTTACTTGGTAGAATGCTTACCTAGCATGTTTGAGGCTCTGGGTTCAGTTTTAACACTATGTAGTGCCTATAATTTCAGCACTAAGGTGGTAGAGGCAGAAGGATTAGAAGTTTGGTGTCATCATTGGCTACATAACAAGTTCAAGGCCAGCTGGGCCGTATCAGACCTTGTATTTAAAAAAACTGGGGAAGGAGAGGCCTGTTGTTGCCATTGCCTGTGGTGAAAAGGAAGTGTTTACTGTAAGGGGTGCAGGTGTCTGAAAGGGTTGGAAATGGTCTAAGTCTTTACTTAAGTGGTGATACATAAATGTATACATTTTTCAGCATTCATCACATTGTACACATTTAAAATTAGTGATGTTATTATATAAGTTATGCTTCAAATGTAAACAATGGATAAACATACCCAAGGGACTCACTTTTAGTGAACCTTGAGTTCTACTTCACCTGGGGAAGTAGCCTTTTTAACCCTCTCATTTGGAAAGCCTTGGCAGGGGCAGGCTTTTTTAAAATTACATTTATTTATTTATTTATTTACTTACTTACTTACTTATTTTGTGTTGTATGTATGTGAGTGCATATGTAGAAGTCAGAGGGTCGCTTGTTGAAGTGTGTTCTCTCCTTCGTTGGGTAGGTTCCTGGACTCGAACTCAGTTTTTCACGTGTGGTAGCAAGCACCTTTACCCACTGAACCATCATGCTGGCCCTGGAAAAGTTTGCTATTAATAATATACTAATGATCTGTGTTTTCATGGTGATTCTTTAAAGTGAGGATTTCTAAGCCGTGTTTTTGTGGAACAGTAAATGATCCACTTGTTTTATGATCTCATTGCATATTTGCCTTTTCTTTACCTCTTTCCCAACCTAGAAAAATTAATCGAGGGACTCAAATCTCCTGATACTTCTCTTCTGCTCCCTGACCTCTTGCCTATGACAGATCCTTTCGGCAGCGCTTCCGATGCTGTGACTGGTAAAATCCCTGTCTGCTCCTTTAGTCATGCCTGTTATATGTGTGTGTGCACTGGTGGGGGGGGGGCTCTGGCATGGGGAGGGAGTGGAGGGCAGAAGTACCCTGAGTAGCCCTTGTACATCGTTGGAAGCCAGCAGTCAAGGCTGTTTATTCTGTCCAGCTAGTCCAAATGAAGTATCTTTTTCTGCTTCTCATGTGCACAACCTGTAACTCCGGTCTTTACTGATATCCTGTGATTTCTCCAGTAAATTTCTTAAGAATAAAGAAGAATATGGGAAAACTAAACCTTTGTGAAACAGTTGGTTTCTAATTGACCTTGGGAGCTTCACTGAACTTAATAGATTTGAGCTGATTCTTCTTTAGGTCAGTGCTTGTAACTAATACCTGTACCAGGAAGTCTGCCTCACATTTCAGCCTCATGATAGACCAGGGCAATTAATGGCTTGGTCTGCTTACTCTGTTATATTTTTTATGCTGGATAAGCAAAACATAAAAAATGTCTGGACTCCTGGAAGATTCAGTCAGTAGACTTTAGATAAGAAATGCTAGTGTTCAGGAATGCCGTGGCCTCCATCTGTGAGACATCACAATGTGCAGAGCACGTCTCTGTTACATCATGGGATAGGGTGGAGTACATTTGAGGGTTGTTCATTATACAGGAGGATGTTTACCCAAAGCTGGCCTATTAGAGGGAAAAATTGCCCAGTTGTGAATACAGTTGTTTCCTTTGCCTTTGGCTTTTTGAAGTGGGCATTACGCTTTGTAGCCAGGCTTGCCTCAGACTCACAGCAGTCCTCTTGCCTCAGCCTCTGTAGTTGTTGGCTTACAGCTGTGAGCCGCCATTGCCTGTCTTGAAGACACTCTTTTCTGACATGGAAGAATTTGCTGCTTGAAAGTTGCTTGTATTCCACACTTATTTGTAGGAGCTGATGATCACTGCACCTCCCTGGTTGTTAGCCTTGGACACGCATGCTCAGTCATCAAAGCCCAGAGAGTGGCAGAGATAAGCTGTGCTCTGCAGCTTGCCTGAGACCTGTGGAAGCAATCCTTTGCAGGTTTTCCTGTGGAAGCAAGCCTTCGCAGGTTTTCCTGTGGAAGCAAGCCTTCGCAGGTTTTCCTGTGGAAGCAAGCCTTCGCAGGTTTTCCTGAGCAGCACCTGACTTCTTTTTCTTACCCTTTCCTCTCCACTGTTAATGCCCCTGATACAAAAGAAAAGGCCGATGCTGCTGTTGAGAGTCTCATACCTGGACTGGAGCCGCCTGTTGCTCAGCGCCTCCCATCTCAGACGGAGTCTGTGACCTCAAACCGCACAGGTCAGTCAGGGTTCATGTCGCTGCAGAGCTGGTCAGTGCAGTAACCTCAGAGCAGGTCTTCCCACTTGTGACATTCTGGTTGGTTTCACACTGGATGCAATGAATTGTTCTTACAATCCTACTTTCTGGATGTTGAGTGTGTTCTTGTGCTGAAAACAGCACTTTTTGGAGCCATGTTTTTCTTAAGAGTGACTCCTGGGCTTGCTCTGATGACAGAATTTTTTTATTCAATATTCTTTCCCCAGGCCTGGGGATATAGCACAGTGACAGAGTGCTTGCATATTGCACATCAATCAATCCCCAACACCAGAAAGGGTAAAAAAAGATTCTCTTGACTGGTGGCAGGTTTTCTCTACCTCTTTAATACAAGTCTGCTCTGATACACGGTTGCCTTAACCCTTCCAGCTGTTAAGCAGTCATGTCTTCAATCTCACTGTACACAGTACTGGCATCTGGATCTATGGAGCTCATCTCCTGCTGTAGATATTCTTTTCCAGATCAGGGCTTCACCATCTAGAGGTGATTTTTATTTCACTTTTAAGCAGAATTGAAATTGTCCTTGGATCCAGTGTTGCTTTCACTCTTATTTGAAAATTTCATTCTTTGTACAAGTCCTTAGGCACACACAAAACAAATCTGATTGCATTTGTTTTAGTGAGCCCTAATTACCTTAATAAGATTCTCTGAGTGTGTGCCTTAGAGAGATAATAAGTTAATGCTTGTGGGAAAAAAAAATCACCCAAAGGCACCGTGGTTCCTCTTATTTTCCCTCATTTGAATGTTTTCTCTCAGGAAACACTCGCTGCTCAAATGCTTCATCTCTGAATTTTACCTTCCTCAATTCTTTAGATAAAAGAATACACTATTTTCAAATGAGAATTCAAATTTAAAGAATAAAAGAAAAGCATTTTGAATGGGAACATGGGAGTGACATGGAGGGCTCCTTCCTGATCAGTTTCAGCACTTCACTAGGTTGTAATTTTCTTCTTGAGTGGGGAATAGTTAAGTGAAATTCTAGTTACAAAGTTCTTTTTCCAAATGATGTTTGTTGAGAACTGGGTTGTTAAGTTGTGTTGACATGTGAATCACAAACTTTTTTGATCAGCAGCTTCTAAACTAAAATTCTTACGTTTATGTTTGCTACCAAGTAGAATCTAGGATGCATGTTTTTGTGGTTAGAAGTTCAGAGAGCTTAGCATGTTTATTTTGATTTTCCTTTTGCACCTTGGCTTGTCCTTGTGACTTTTAATGTAATAATTTAAAAGTCAAGATAGAACCTCACACTATTGTTGTGTGCTGTTTAATGCCGCCATTGCGGGGATGCTAATCACTGGACTCAGACTCTCTCACTGGGGACGACTCTCTGCTTTCTAATCCCACTGCCGACCTTCTGGAAGAGTTCGCCCCCATACCACTCTCTGCTCCCACTCACAAAGGTAAAGTGTTTCTTGGGCCCACATGTATTTTGGGGAGCTCCTCTTATCAAAAGCTGTCCACGTCTATGGAAAATATGGGTTTGTATTCCTAGCCACTGTTAAAGTTCTCCTCAGAATAGTGAATAAGCCCTAGCAGCTACAAATAGGGAGAGGGTTCACTTTCTGACAAAAACTAGGATACAGATATTTCATGTTAGCTTTGATAGCCCTGTGCCTTAAGGAACGCATAAATGAATGAGCCAACTGATTGATTGTGATAATTAATATGATACTCATCGGCCTTGGAAAGCAAAGCCATTTCATCAAATCTGAGTCAAGGTTTTTAAATGTAAAGAAACACAGCCCTCAAAAATCATTCCTCAAAAATTTAACTTGTGAAAGTTTTGAATATTATTTTGTCTTTGAGTCATAATTGTTTACTGAGTTTCTTGCTCTAACGTGACATTTTCACGTCTTAGTCTTGGCTTGGTTTGGTTTGAGATTTTGCATGTAGAGTAGCTTGGTTTGGGCTCTGAGGTCCATTGTGGTGATAGCTCGTTTGCACATGGCAAACTTATTTCTGTGTTTGAGGAGTATTAGCAAATGAACAGGTTAAGCCCTTTGCAAAGGAAATTCAAGAAGGAATCCTCCAGACCTGACTAAAATCAGTGAGCTCATGGGTAGCAATGAAGATTGCTGGTTCTGTTTTACAGCTGGCACAGGAAGTTACCTGTATAGCTATCGATGGCTGGCAGGAATGTGTTAGTAGCAATGCATAACTACAGCGAAGCATTGTCTGCCAAATACGTGCTAGCTAGCATTTGCTGGGGCATAGCTTTAATTAGAATGGAGAATATGCTGGATGTGGTGGCATGTGCCTTTAACCCCAGCAGTGGGAAGGCAGGGGCAGGCTGATTTCTCTGAGTTCCTGGGCAACTGGAGCTACATAATGAGAAACTGTCTCAAGCAAAACAAATGAAAAACAATCACAAAAAAATGGGGGGGGAGTCTAAGAAACTTATGCTAGCGTCTTTTGTACCCCAGTATTCTGAATTATTTAGAAGTCTTTTTTTGCAGAGCAGGGAGTCTTGACATTTTGCTTGCTTTGTACATACGGGTTACTTCTCTTTCATTGTTGGTTTTGAGCCATGGGTCAAACTCAGGACCTTGCACTTGCTAGAGCACACACTCTACCACCGAACTGTGCCCCGGCCTCTACATGGTTTCTCCTTTCTCATCTCCTGCCCCAGGCTCTTAGTGTTTCAGGTGTTGTTAGTCAGGCCTCTGCTGACTCAATAGAGATAGTAACTTCACAGCTGTAATTGTGGTCTTCTACAGAGTAGAGATCTCTTCTAATAGTACATTTCTTACCCATTTATAAAATCTTGACATTGTGAGTTCTAAAGATTTTTGCTTTTATATACCTGTATTTTCCAGTTTTCTACTTTTATTTCAACTCAGAAAAATAAGTGCTTTCACCTTTAAGAACAGTGATTGTTCATGGTTGAAGGCATGGTACCTCCTTCCTGTTCTCTCATTTGCTAATCTCTTCTTCTGTTGTTTCTGCTTGTGTGCTTGCATTCTGTATTAAGCTGCAGAAGATAGTAATCTCATCTCAGGTTTCGGTGTCGCTGAGGGCTCGGAAAAGGTGGCAGAAGATGAGTTTGACCCTATTCCTGTACTGATAACCAAAAACACACAAGGTAAGAAAGAGACTGGAGAAAAAAGAAGAGCTTGACATCAGTTGTCATCAAAACACTGTCCCTAGCCTACATGGTGGATGGAAGCATCGCCATTTGGTGAAGGACACTGGATGATAGCAGTCAGTGTAGGCTGGGTCAAGATGAGAGGCAGATGGAGATGCTAATGTATGTAGCTCAAAACCTTGTCGACTTGGGGTTTATTTAGAGAAGACTTAGTTTTTATGAAATGTCAAGCCAAAAAGAAAGTGCTTTCTAGTTGGTAGAAGCCTCAAGGTATATGTCAGAACTGTTGAACATTTTTATCATGGTTAGAAAATATGTAATAGATGTTCTTTCCAGAGAGCTAACAGTGGTATTTTGGTGTCTGCTGCATCAGTAGACTTTATGGACCATTCTTTTCCTCTTTGGTGGAGTGAATCATTTGAGCATGCACAGAACACTAAAACACACCACATAGTTATTTTTAAAAGCATGTTCTTACTGTAGTATCCTAATAACTAATTCTCCCCAAAGCAGGAATTGATCTGTACTTTTTAGGAAGATGGCTTGCTGTTGGGAGGTTAGTGGACAGCCAGAACCTCTTAGGCAAATGAGTTGGTTTGGCACTAGTGGCATCTCTGAAGTGTCCTGCTTCTACTGCGGTGTGCCTGGAGTGAACTTCTGGTGGGAGGTGGTGGCTAGCCAATAGTTAGGTTTAGAAATCAACATGTAAGACTTTTTAAATGTGAAATGTTGCTTCTCTAGATTTCTTTGTTTTTCTTTTTCTCCTTTGCTTGCTCTGCACATCTAACCCTAACCCTCTGTGTTTTGTACTGAATCCTATCTTTCCACTTCCAGGTGGGCACTCTAGAAACAGCAGTGGGAGCTCTGAGTCCAGTCTTCCCAACCTAGCCAGGTCTTTGCTGCTGGTGGATCAGCTCATAGACCTGTAGCCGTGAGCCAATAGCAGACGCAGTTCTGTAACCTTCATGCCGTAATACACATTTTCATTACGGAGTTATGAGAAAAATGATTTTTTTAAAAAAAAATCTGCAAATTAGGGGCCCTCAAGCCCCTTCTCCTACCCCTTGCCTTCTCCTATAGAAATGATAAGGAAAGAAAAATCTTTGATCCTCCAGATCCGTTCCTTGGCCGGCTCCTCTTGTTAGTTTGCTGCGTTTTCTCATTCCCCATCTTCAATAGCATTATCGTAACTCAAGCGCTAGCTGCCCTGAGCTTCACCTCTGCTGGAATCCACTCAGAAGCTTGACTGTCACTGAGCCTGTAACGGACACTTTGTCTCATTCTTGCTAGGAATGGCCCCATGTCAGTCCTATAGCCCGTCTCCCAGATGCTGATGAATGTGTGTCCATTCTTGCTTTTTATCCTGATGCAGTATCATGAGGACATGACAGCTATGGCTGGTCTTATCCCCAAGCAGTAGTCTGGAGACAGGTGTGCAGTTTAAACAGGACAAAACTAATAAGCTGTGTTTGTGAAGAGAAATTGAGCTCAACTCTAGCCAGCCAACTTTGACCATTTTTGGTAGTAGACTGAGCCAAGTGATCTTACGCTCATGCAATCTTCCCAGATGTCTAGTTGTCTAGCTATCTGACTTCCATTGAATCGTGATTTCTCAAATCTGGAGGCATGACTGCAAGTGCTTGAGATCCTTGAATAAATGTGTATGTGATGGAAATACCGAGCATTGCCATCCTTCCATGTTACCTGGCCCAAGCTGGGATCTCAGAATTAGACCAAAACAAGACAGTGGTGGGAACATGATACCTTTTACTAGAAGACTTTTCATGGGTGGGGGGGTAGATGGGGAAGGGAAGGAATTGTAGCAAAAACAGATGTATTTTTCTTGTGATTTTTTTATTTTGAATCAAATATTGTAAATTGTGTATAAATGAAGATGCTGACTAGTTCTGTTTCCACTTGGCATTTCAAGTCTGATATCAGGTGTCTGTACAGGGTTTTGATCTCTTTTGCTTGTATACAACATAGCAGTCCTATAGTGTAACACATGGACCTGTTTTAAGTAGAGTGTATGTCTTGCTCTAAGCTCTCAGCAGGCCTCTGTCTCTGTAGAACAAGCATGTTTTTTTTTTATTTTCAGATAATCAGAGATGAGTGTGCTGGGCACAGTTTGGCTGTGGCCACTCACCTCCTCTGGTGTTTAACTAGAAGGCTGACGCTGATGGAATATGTGCAGTTGGCTTTCCTTGGCTTCCTAGAGTTCAAAAACCAAACAAAGAGTAGCTCTTCACTAACCTTAGACTGTTGTTCATAGATTTAAATAAAGACCCCTGCACTCACATAACATGCTCTCCTGTCACCCCCGTGTGCTTACTCATCAAGGTGTGTTTCATTTCCTTATGTTGAGAGCACTTTTGTAAACTTAGCCTGTGGAAGAGGAGTGGTCACAAAGAACCCCTTCCTCGATGCCATCCTCCAGGGCTGAAGGGAAACTCTTAAGTTCATCAGGTTTGTACAAATAAAACCCCAAATCTCTTTGCTTGTTCTCTACTACTACTTTGTTTCTTGCTCACATTTGCACTTTAAGTGGTGGGGAACCAACAGCAGCACGAGCCTGCAAGCCTGCCCTCTGGAGGGCCACCATTGTCTCCAGCAATGTGACAGCAGGAAGAGTGGACACTCAGTCTTCCTTCTGACTTTAAATCCTTCCTGTGCCAGCTGAACCTAGATGAGCTGAGGAAAGGCCTGTGCTAGAAGACGTGGTTTCCACAGGTGAGCGAGGCACAGTGTGCAGCCGAGGATCGAGGAGATGTCACGACGAGCTCTCCACAGTGGGCTGCAGGGAAGCAGGACTTGGTTACCCCCTTGGTGGACAGGAAATGGTTGTGTCCTCTTTGCTGGACATAGAAAGAATGTATAAACTAATGAAGGAAATGTTTATTTTTAAATAAGGCTGATGTTTTAGGTCTGTGTTTCTATATTTTTTCCCATGAAAACGTTAGCAATATAATGAAATGTCTACTTTCTCAGTTTAATTGCAGTCATGAAGAGTGCAGTCTAGAAATTAGGTTACGTGTCTCTAAACCATTCTTTCATGCGTCACCCGTAATTATTTTGAGATATATTGTGTAGTCATTTGGCTCAGTAAGGCTTAATGGAGACACTAATGAAAACTAACAGACTCTCTCCAAGGAAGATGGTAAATTCTGGGTGAGATATTGACAGGAGACCTAGGCTGATCCTTCAGGAGTAAGGCTTAGGCTTCCTGTTGAGAAATACATTCTAGTAACTTGGTCAGCACAGCCTTCCTTTGCATCATCCTAAACTGAGGGAGTGGCTTAAGAAGAGCCTGGTGTGTGGTAACTGGAGATGCATAGAACAAGACTGCTATACGAGGGGCTTCAGAGACTGTCCACTAGTCCATTTACTTCATCTCACTGTTGTGGGCCTGACTGATGAAGGCAGGGTGGTCCAGACCCTGGCTTATGACCTTGAACAGGCATTTTACCCCCTCAGAACTGATATTGGATTTTTACCCAGGATGGTTTTGCATAGGTAATGTCTGAGTCAGTAGAAGCACGGCATTGTTATGCTGTTGTATTTAGAAGGACTATGAAGGGTCATATAATCCGGATGTCCTTCAGGTAACTTCTGTGCTCTTGCCATTCCTGCAGCTTTCTCCAGCATTTACTCACAGAGGATTAGAATGAGCAGTTTTTAATCTTGTTGCTACTTGCTGTCACCTGGATAAAAGCCCACATCATTGAAAGTTTGGAGATAGATTTTCTTTTTATAATATTAAGCACACACAATCTTACCTATTACAGTAAAACAGAATCCGGAGATTTCTATTATTTTAATCTGTGTTTAAAATATAGGCAAATACAATGTGCATATTTTTTATTCTCTCTGCTGAGTGGAAGTAATACTGTACCAGAAAGTATCACAAATTGGTATTCCCCCCCCAAGGTAACCAAATTTAATTCCTAAAGCTTCTAAAAATATGATCCTCAGAGGATATGAGGTTTAAGCAGTCACTTCTAAGTAGTATTATAATTGTTACAGTGATTCCTGAAGTAGACAGATCAGAAATATTTTGTGTGTTTGATTGTTCCCTCTTGGAAACATATTTTGCTTGGGAAGTGAATGCTAATCCTAGCAAGGCAGGCCAGTATCATCTGAGTTGTTTTTAAGCTCTTGTCCTTAGACATAACATCGCCAGATAAGGTAGAAAGAATATGGCTGTTTTCTTAGAACCCTCACTTACAGCATCCACAAGTATAGTCTTTCTTATGTTTTCTCTCCGACACCTCTGCTCAAGAGTTACACTGAGTTTTCCAAACGCAAGATCACTCTTATCAGATTGAAACTCCATAGGCAGTTCCTAGAGAAGACTTCATAACTGAGAGAGATTTCACCAACACTGAGTAAGGGAAGGTTTACAGTCCCCTGGTCTTTAGGAAATTTAAAGATACAGGTTTTGAAAACTCCTCTGAAAGAGGTCGTCACTGTGCTCATTGGCATTTCACGTTGTACGTGACTCCTCCTGATCAAATTGGAGTTCTAGAGCTTGGATTTCTAATAACTGGAAGAAAACAAACCAAAAGGGAACCTGTTTTTCTTAACATCTGATATTTTGTGGTTTGCAGTTCTCATTTTCAGTATAAGTGTTTTGATTCAAACCAGCATAGTCTTCCCTCAAGTCAGGATTAGTTCTGTCTTCAGCAGTGCCCTGGGAATGAGGAGACCTTTGTGATGGGCATAGGGGCCCATGCTCAGGGAACAAATGAATGCTGTAGACACCCTAGGCCGAGCTAAAATCTGTGACAAGGTTCCTCTGGCATCAAGAGTCTTTAACCTTCCTGGTCTGTTGCCACTGTCATGGAGTTTGGGAATGTGAATGGCAGCATCACCCAGAAGACTGAGTTAAGTAAATTAGAGGCTGCCTGACAGAATGTTTAGAGTGGGTGTTTAGTGAAGCACTTCAGATACTGCAAACTAATTTCTATCCCTCTCTAGAGACTAATTCTACCAGTGCAAAATTAGACCTCTCCTTTCCATAATGATAATGTTCCCCAAGTTGGATGTGCTTGGCTTTTGTGAACTGAATGAATCCCTGATGGCCTTCATTTCAGTCTGTAACAAGATATCCTATGTAGTTTCCCCTGGGTTTCCTTTCACTAAGTGGGAGAGAGAAGGCCTGGAGGCTGCTTAGGTAATGCTAACTCATGCAGAGTTCCCAAAGGGTGACAGTTGCTAGGAGGGAAGTCCTTCCTTGGTTCTCACTTTGATGCAGTGTCCTGAATTCACGTCGGTGGGTATTCTCTTCTGCCTTGTTGTACACGCCGTTGTCACCTGGATGGATCCTTACCTTAGAACAGAGTGATGTAATGAAGCTATCTTGTGCAGTAAAATGTGAAAAATGAACACTGCTTCGCAAGTATTGTATAAATAAGTCTGTAAACAAATTTCTTATGTAAACATACAGAGGAATAAAGCTTTTATCTGTTCAAACGAGTGCATGATGTTTAGATATATAAATAGCTTAAGGTAGCTGTTATATTCCTGCAGAAATGTAACAAGGACTTGAGCACATTCTTTAGTGGCTGCAAATACCAGTGGACTAGAAAAGTATGGGCAGCTGTGCAAGATGTCCTGAGGAAATGACAGTGGATACCTGTGAGATGTCCTAGGTTTGGTGAGCTCTGACCATCTTAGAGAATGAAGAACCTTATGGTCAAGAATGAGAAACCTGCAAACACACATTAGCCAGGGCCATACTTAGGTGACAAAATGGCAGCAATTTGCAGCTGCCCTCCTCTAATTTAGTCTTTCATCCACCCAGGCTAATTGAATTAAACACTAGGAATGGCAAGAATATGTTTATGCCCAGTGAGAAATGGCTTTCTTTTATTCTGCCTGGCATCCAGTTGTGGGCTTTCCTGCTGCTGCCTAGCATAAGGGATAACCAGATGCTCAAGTTCATGATGAACACTGAAGGTTGTGGGAACTACAGGCTACTGAGACCATGGTTCCTGCGTTTGGTTCTGAGACACCAAATTTCAACTGATGCCACACATCTCATCAGGGTGCTTTTCAGTCTCTGCGTGTATGAGACACCCAAGCCATTACTTCAGAACTTTGGCAAGAATTTGTCATTGATATTTTCCGTCACCATTATTTCTGTTACAGTGTAGACATACTACACTAAAGAGTATCCAGCCTGAAATTTAAATTTCAGATTTGGGGCCCACCAGATGACTCTTTGGGTGAAAGTGCCTATGCCAAGCCTAATGACCTGAGATGGAGCCCATGGGTGGAAGGAGAGGACTGACCTGTGCAAACTGTCCTGTGACCTCTACTTGAGTACTGAGGCATATGCTTATGTGTGCACACACAGTAATAACAATTTTTTTTTCTAATCTTAGATTTTGCTTCTCTAGAGAGCACTCTGATGACCTCACTGTCAGTCAAATAGCATTTCTGGGGTCAGTCATCCTCAAGAATGCCACACTTTGACCTATGGGATAATTCAGGGGATGGTGAGGATAATTCCCCAGGGTGTGCAAGTTCTATTGAAATTTGTGTTAACTTACTTAAAAATGGAGCCAGATGGAGTCATTTCTAGAAGTTTTGAAAACAAAGGGAGACATAACCCAGTTTGAGGGAATTATAAAAGAATGCCTCATGATGAACAGAAGCCTTGTATACTCTGAGGCCAAGTCCTGGACTAGGAGAGCAGGCTAGTTTTGTTTTTTTTTTTTAAGTTCTTTGCTTACAAAGTGTCTGCTGTGGCTGTCATATATAGCCAAAAAACTTGACCAAGGCATGAGGGTAAGTTGGGTGGATCCCTAGGAGGCGGGCTGCTTCAGAGGTAGTCTGCCGTTGGCTCAAGGCCGTTTCACTACACATTCATACACTAAGTGAGTGACAGCAATACCTTTCACTGCCAGTAAGAATTTATGAATCTTCCCCGAACTCTGTTGTTTCCCTGCTGCCACCATCAGGTCTCTCTGGAGTCACATAGGCATGTAGGGCCTCCATATTCTTTAGTATTTCTTTGACCATCAAAGTGCTAGGCCTGGTCACTCTACCATAGTCACACTTCACCTCCAAGAAAGGTTGGGAGACAGGCTTTTCAGGAAAGCCCCATTAGGTGCACTTTTCCAGCCTGAAGAAGATTCACAATGGGATGGAGGAAATAGCTGTGATCTTTCTTTTAAACAGTGAGAGACTGGTGTTCCCTTCAGACTTAATGTTGTGGTGTTTTGTAACTCCAACCTTTTTAAAAAAAAAAAAAAGTTCTCACTCTATAACTGACTGTATAGATCAGTCTGGCCGCAGCTGCACAGAGATCCAACTGCCTTGGCTTTCTGAGTGCAGGATTAAAGCGTGTGCCACCACATCCAGTTGATTCTGAACTTGGTTTGTTTGTTTGTTTGTTTGTTTTTTCAAGACAGGGTTTCTCTGTAGCTTTGGTAACTGTCCTGGAACTAGCTCTTGTAGACCAGGCTGGCCTCGAACTCACAGAGATCCGCATGCCTCTGCTTCACGAGTGCTGGGATTAAAGATGTGGGCCGCTACCACCACCCCCCGGCTGATTCTGAACTTTTAAAAGCTGTTGGTATTTTAAATATAAAATACCTTACTATTCACTTCAAAATTCAAAGGGGTCCTGAGTTGGTGGATTTTCTCCTGGGTTATTGACTCAAAGCCTACTACTTGACAGAAGCAGTTTGCATGGGGTGGGCATGTTCTTGTCCTATTGGGAATGGGGGAGTTCTCACTTTACTGCCTCATAGCTCTCAGAATGTAATCTAGCTTTGAAGGCATCAGGCCGTGGGTCTCTAGGGAGATATATTCCATTTGCAGTCTGTATATGACTTGGTTTGAATGAATCCAAGTTCAGTTCCTTCAAATCACTGACTACAGTACAAGCAGTGTCGTTATCAGATCTGTCTGTATATTACCAGGAGTCATCATTGGCTTCACTTAACTTTTATCCCTCTGTGCGAAAGGTTGCTTTGCTCTACTGCATAGCTGGTGTAAAGCAACAACATTCAGGTAGTTTTGGAAAGGAGAGGAAATGCACCTTAGTTTTGTCAATGGAGGCTATGGACTAACATATAGAAGAGGAAATAGCCTGTGGACTCTCAGGAGTCTCTTACATTTCTTGGTGAGTTTTATTTTGAAAATTAGTGGTTCCTTCTTTCCCCCCTTCATTTTAGTTCCCTCACAGAAGTTGTTAGCTGGGTGTCTCTGAGATAAATCTGATCTCGGTTCTCTTGCCTGGGAAATTAGGGTTGTGCCCATATACACCGTGAGCGAGCAGGACGTTTTCATTCTCTGCTGGTTTCTGTATCAACACTTGACTGCATGCATTAGGCTTACAATGCAAGGAAAACTTCATTCTCTTCAAAATCACATTCTTCAAATATTATTTTAAAAGCCACACTGTACCGAACAATTCAACTTAAATTTTGAGTTCAGAATGTATTGTGTCCAAACTATTAGAAAAAGAAATAACAGCAAGGGGGAAACCTTCTAGAAATTATTTATTGTCAGCTGATTAAAATGAAGCACTACTTTAAAATAAGTTACAGGATTCAGGAAAACGGTATTTTTGTATAGTGACTTTTTTCCTTCTCTTTTTTTCTTTTTTCTTTTCTTTTTTTTTTTTTTGTATAGTGTCTTTTAATAAAATGCTCAGCCCCCTCTTTGTGTTCTCTACAGTGTAAATTCTCGCTAAGTGACTGGTTTTCCAATAAACCAACTTTGTGGCCCCTTCCTCTGTGCTGTGTGCTTAGTTCAGCGAGAATGTTAGTACAGGGCAATGTGTAGCAGAAATTCCTGCCTGGTAAGGTACTCATTGGAGGGAGGGGGCCCCGGTCGGGAGGGGATGGCCGATAGTTAGCATTCTGGTGGGTTGGGACATTCTGGTGGTATGTCTTTTTTGAGCCCATAGTGAAATATATTTTATCCTTTACACCCCACCCCCACCCACCCTTTCTCTGGATTCTTCTTGCTTAGTTACATATGCCTTTTTCCTACCCTCTTGCTAACATGTGCCCAATGACATACTTCTAACCTGCTAATATTTCTTGGAAGGTAAGCTCTATTGCATTCTGATAATTGTCTATTTGATTTAAATGCCAGAGCACCCAGAGGCACCTCTACCTACATTACCACTTGGGCTAGTACATTGGAGTTTGCTAGTATTTTTGCATAAAGAACTTAATGGCAGATTCATTAATCAGAGATCATTGTTAACTTGGGACACTAAAAACAAAATTCTAGGGCCACTCCAGCTAAAGTTGATGTCATCTAGTATGACACAGAAAGTACCCTCCATATTTACATCTGGCACCAAGTGCTCTGTGAGCACTGCTTGCAGTGTGTCATCAAGTAAGCATGCATTTACTGACAGCCGAGTTCTGCACATGGAGTTCCGTTCATCCCCGGGCAGTGGTTCTCCATAGCCCCAGACTGTCTGACTTATGTGGAGAGGAATGACTGAACTTGTTTCCGTTTGGCTCTGAGACAGGTAGAGCAGGTGTCTGTGCCTGGCCTGCAAGTAGGAGTGTTGCCTAGTTGCCCTGAATGTCCGTGTGCCTAACATTTTCACCTTTCCTGCTCATTGTGTCTGTCATGATCCAAAGTGTGAGATGGTGGTTGTGTCTTCAGTCTGTGTGCATTTACCTTGCTTGACTTTTTATTTTTCTGTTTTTCCATTTTCAACATCTATCATTTGATTCCACAATGTATCTTCCTCGGTTGACCATTAAATGTTCCAGAAAGTTTTGACCCAGTCTCCACATTAATTCTACATTTTATGCTTTTCTAGGTCTCCAGAGAGAACCCAGTCCTTGTCCTGTAATTACTGTAGAGCACTTTAAAGAACCTGTGGGTGCCAAAGGCCTCGCCCTCTATCCAGATCCCTGCAAAATTTCTGGAACAAAGACTCAGAACACCTTAGAGTCTGACTCCCTGGCCCGAGAGGGTCCTTCCAGCAATAGCTCCTTCCACAGCAGCGAGGAGGAGGGCACTGACCTGGAGGGAGACATGTTGGACTGCAGCGGGTCTCGGCCTCTCCTGGAGTCTGAAGAGGAGGATGAGAGCTGCAGACCTCCTCAGGGGAAGCTGGGAGAAGCCACCCTGTTCGCTGAGCCTGGAGTGTCTGCTGAGCCAGAAAAGGGGGGACGAGGCGGGAAAAAGAGCCAATTCTTGCCAGTCAACCAACAGGCCTCAGATGATCTCGGAGAGCCTGATGTCTTTGCCGTAGCCCCCTTCAGGAGCTCACTGGTTCCAGCAGATGACGTGGACATTTTCTCCAAAGCCCCTTTTGTCTCCAAGGGCAGTATAGCTCCTTCCCAGACAGAGGAGGTGGATGTGTTCTCCAGAGCTCCTTTTACCAAGAAGAGGAGCGTGGAGGAGTTACTGGCTGTGCAGGGCTCCTCACAGGATTTGCCGGTGCAGGCCAGCCTTAGTCAGCCCAGTGAAGGGCTCCTGCTTCCAGGCCGTGATAGAGCCATGTACCCCCCTGCCCAGGTGCAGTATCCTGTGACTGGCTTTGCACAGCAGGCCGGTCTCCCCTCCCACTCTGTCCAGGTGGCAGACCATTTTGACAGCAGCTCTCCCCGAGGATCTCCCCTGGAATCTGGGAGTCATCCTACTGACAGAAACAGAGGACTGCAGTCCCAGAAAGAAGCCTTCTCCGGGCCTATGGTTGGCAAGCCATTCCGCCCCCAGGCTTTATCCAAATATTCCCGACACTATAGCCCAGAAGATGAGCCAAGTCCAGAAGCTCAGCCCATCGCTGCCTACAAGATTGTTTCGCAGAGCAATAAGCAGTTGCTAGCTGGCTCTGTGTCTGTCACATCTCTGTCCTCCAGGACTACAGAGCTGCCTGCCGCCGACCCTTTCGCTTTAGCGCCCTTTCCGTCAAAAACAGGCAAACAGAAACCGTAGGCATGAGACCAGCCTGTGGCCTGCCTCCACCTACCCCACCAGCACCTATCACACCACTCCTGGCTGGCCTTTCAGGGAGTAGCCACTGTGACCTTGCAGTCCCTGCCTCAGAGCAGAAGCTCTTTAGGTTACACTTCCTGCTTTGGTTTATACTCATTTCTTGCCACGTGGGCATTGCTGTTCCTTCATATAGGCATTCCACCTGCACTCTGAACTCTGATTTGTTTCTGCCTAGACACCTCTTTAATCCAGGAATATTTTACCCGCTGTTAACCACAACTTTGAAGGCCAGCAGCTCCTGTGGGGAGGTGCTTGGATCAAAGAGTCAAGATGAATCCCTCCAGCACTCAACGATACTCTTGAAACAGAGATTTCTAGGGGGAAAAAAAAACAGCAATATAAACCTACTGCACATCTGAAAAAGTTAGTCCTTCAGCTCCTCATTATTCATTCCTGTGGAGCCAGCAGCTCTCAGAGGATTCTGGAATCTGTCACCGAGTCTATATGAGCCAAGCTGGCCTGTGTGCACAGATGTCTGGTGCATGATGTGGGTCAGGTTCTCTGTCAAGCAGAAGAGCATACTGGTGGGAAAAGCTCACTCTGCCTTCCCACAGTTCACTTTTTAGACTAGAATGGATACATGCGTGTGCATGCATACAAGAAACCGTTTCCTTAGAGTGAAACCGCCATGCCTACCTCCATTATCCAATCATTTCCTTGTATTTGCCTGTTGACCTGACTTGAACCTTGGCTTTATTTGGATTTTTTTTTTCTCATGGTAAAATTGAAGTTGTTGGACCATATGGGGCAATTCTGTTGAAAATGAGGTTTCAGGATGAATTTTTAAAATTCCATTTACCTGGTTTTGAAAAAATCAAGTATCTAAAACTGGACATGGTATCTCGTGCTTGTAATCCTAGTTCTTGGGAAACTGAGACAGGAGAATTACCACAAGTTAGAGGCTAACCTGGTCTTAATACTGAATTCCAGGCCACCATATCTCAACACCCTCTCCTCCCACCCAAAAAAGTCACTGGTTCTTCTGTTTTTCCCTGGTAACAGAGGAAGAGCATCTTTAGTGTTGTAGTCACTGGGAATCCTTCCTGGGTACCATTGTTATAAAATTCATTAATCAGGAGCCTAAGCCACAAACTACATTGCCTGTTTTCTCCCCCAAAACTTTCCCCATACTCCTCTGTTGCCTCTTGAAGTTGAAAATGAGAAAGCGTTGGTCAGCTGTCCTTGCAAATCTTTAAATTAGCTGTTCCGTTCAGATGTTAAAGTAGAACAGACAGGTGACTGGCTGTGTCTTCAGAAGTGCGTTTTTATTTCTGGAAAGCTCTGACTCATCCCCGTGTTTTCATACCATTCATTTTTAGTGCCTTAAAAGAAAGCCCATGACTCTGCAGGGAGGTTTCTGCTGAGGAAGCCGAGTTTCATGGAGACAGCCTGCACCATACTCAGGGTGTGTGCTTACAACTTCTAGCATAGTTCCTCCACTTGTTCGGGGAACTCTGGAGAGTTCATCAAGCTAGATTAGTGATAAAAAAAACTGCTAGTAACTGGGCATGGGAGCATATACTCCTGTAAGCAGGAAAGGGGTTCAAGGCCAGCCTAGACTACCTGAGACACTGTCCCCCAAAATAAAAGAATTACTGAAAATTTATCCGGTAATGAAGCCTAAATGTCAGGCTGCACTTGCAATCATTTAGTTGTGATGTCCTTTAGATTTGAAAGTCAGGGTCTGGGTGTACAACTGGGTGGAAGAATGCATGTTTGTATGCACCATACCCTGGGTTCTGTCCTTGGTACCCCCAGAAATAATAGAATAAAGCCCAGGACTCTTGGCAGTTAACATAAGAATGGTTACTTTTTGCCTGGTGTGGTGGCAGGCACCTTAACCTCAGAACTTATGAGGCAGAGACAGGTGGATCTCTGTGAATTTGAGGTCAGCCTTGTCTACATAGCAAGATTCAGGCCAGCCAGTGAACGAAAGCTTGTCTGAAGAGGGTGAAAGGGAACTTTTTTTTAGTACTTCTCTTTTTGGTGTTCTCCACCTGTTTGAATAACAGGCAGTATATCAGGGTCTCCGCCCCCACCAGAAACCTGCCTTCCACTTCATTAAAGCCTAACTATTCTCTCTAGGAATTTGCTTTCTCAGTTATTGTTTTTGAATGTTTTGAATACTAGTGGATACAAACTGGTCTTTCTGTTAAATGAGTAGCTTGGGAATATACACGGAATTTTGCAACCAATCTTCCCACACTTGTTTTCAGGTGAATTCCTCAAAGGCATGTGTAAACGGGGATGGGACTGTTTAGACAGGGTCCTCACTTGATGTCACAAGCTCTTTTCCAGGTTGCAGCATAGACCTGTAGTCCCAGCTGCTTAGAAGGCTGAGACAGGACAGCCTGAACCTAGCATCTCAAGGCCAGCTCTAGCAACTTACAAGCACCCGTCTCATGAATAGAAATTTCAGAATGCAAGGTCAGCTACGTAACCGTGCTGAAACTGTTTTAACTTTGATTACTATATCACTCCATCTAATCAAACAGTCATTTTAATTCACAAGGTCCAAATTAGAATAAAATCACGCACTCCTTATTTTATATAGTTGAATCGTTTGTGAAGTGTGGGCTTGAGGCCTTTTTCATCTACTGAGTAGGAAGTCTATCTGTCTTTTACTGGGAAGTGAGTGTGACCACATGCAGCTTGTCTTTTCCTCTGTGGCACTTTGTGAAGGAAATGTGACAAGAGACTAGCCATCACGTGAGTTCTGAAGGAAGAGTCTGGATTACAGGATTAGTGTGCAGTTGAATGATCAGATATCCTGGTGGGATACCATCCTGAGTGAAAATCTGGAAAGTTTGTTTTACGGGGAATTAAGAGTGCATAAAGTCTATGAATCAATTGTAAATTCCCAGTGACCATACTCTAACAGTTTAATAATTAGGAAGAGGAACAGTGTCAATGAAGTACTGTACTTTGTTTTAATTTCCACTATGTGTTAGTCACTTTGTATATTTCATAGGAAACACAGAAAATTGTGAACTTTGGACTCAGTAGAAAAAGATGAGTCAGAATATCCTTAGATAAAGCCTTAAGCCACATCATGCACTAATGAATGATGTGGTAGACCGAGGAAGTAGCTCAGAGATGGAGCCTGGCACAGTGAGGCCCTGGGTTCCTCCCTATTAGCTGACTAATGAGCACTGTTAAATGAGCTAACTTATGTGTCATGGAAAATGTCTCACTAATTTCTTAGGCTTACAATACAGCTCTTTAGGGCCAAATCTATGGTTAGCACCAAAAAAATAAATAAAATAAGAAGTGAACATCTATGGCAGGCATACCTACAATTCCCGCACCACTCAATACATGGGAGACCGAGGCAAAACAATTGTGAGTTCAAACCAAGACCAGCCTGAGCAGCTTAGCAGGACCTTAATATTGCAAATTTAAAGAGGGCTGGTTTTGTATTTAAGTGGTAGAATGCTTACCTAGCATATGCAACCACTGGATTTAATTAACTCCAGTACCAGGAGACGAGAGAGCACACAAATTGTTCATCGTGTGATGGTGAACAATCTAGCCTTGGAAGTGAGGAAAGTTGGTTCTGAGAGCAAATTTTAGTTCATGTAGGTTGTTTTGTCTTGGCTCACTGGTAGGGGTGAAGACCTATGTACTGGTGCAGGCCCCAGTGTGTGTGTGTGTGTGTGTGTGTGCGTGTGTGTGTGTGCGTGCACACGCGTGTGCTAACCGTCTTCTACTCACTAACCCATGTTGTATCTCAGTTTCATCTGGCAACTGAGATCTTCTAGACATTCAACAGAATGCTGTCTTTCTGGCTTGTTGTGTATTTATTAAGTGTTGGACTATATGCTTGTCAGTGTTTTCAGCCACTCTTCACTGGTGCATAAAGTATTAGAGTGATCTGATGATAAGAAATTCTGTATTTTTATTCTGTAAATGAAAATACTCAAAATATGTATCAGATTGTATGATATGTATGCATTACTTCAAATAGGAAACTTAAGAGAAGGAAATGCAGTGCTCTCTCCGACAGGAATGGGGCAACATCCGGTGGAGTCCATTTGGGTCCCTCAACTGTAAAGAGATGTTGCTCCCTGCTGTGTCTTTTGCATTCAACCTTGAGAGCACATCCCAGTCAACTCCCAAACAGCTGCTGGTTACAGCATTTTTTAAAATCAGAATCAAACATTTTGATGACAGGTAGTTTGCAGGAGTACAGCGGAAGAAGGCGGGAGCATCTTGACACTTTCCGTGGCCACCCTGTTTCCGAGCCTTCCAGTGCTTCACTAAAAGATTAAACACTGGGGGTTGTAAGTGAAATCATGTCATTTGAGTGATAACCTTTGTCAATCAATATTTGTTTTGTTTTAACCACCAGAACACTTTAATGATAAAAAAAAAACTAAAGAAAAGGTTTCAAAATGCTTAAAAATAAAAAGTAGTGTCTAATTGTAAATTGTTTCCGTTTTGTTCCCAGAGGTCTTTGTGTCCCCCACTCCCCATTCCTACTCTCCCTTAATTTCCTCCCTCAGCATTCTCCTGAACTGTCACACTAGCTTGCGGTGGCTACTCTAAAATCTCATTTTAGGATTCAGGCCAGCCTTGACAATCTAGCAGTGAAATGGTTCACCTTCCCCTAGAATCAAGGACAGAGGAAGGTTGGTAGGACCCAGCTTTCCTCTGTGGAGATGTAGCCCAGAGGGCACTCTGCCCACTGATCCTACATAGCTCTAGAATGAGTACATATGTGAGCAGACTCTAGAAGGGCAAAAAGAGCAAAAATAGCTAACTGCTGGTCATGGGAACACATGCCTGTAATGAGGCAAGAGGTTCACTGTGAGTTCGAGGCCTGCTTGGGCTACATAGCAAGACCTTGTCTCAAAACACACACACACACACACACACCCAAAGGCTAAATATTAACTACATGTGGCTTGTTAACTACAAAGTTTCTGTAACTTGTAATTCCATTAGTTTTGTCAGCTATAGTTCAGCAACCTCAGCCTCTGGCTTAGGCAAGTGTTACACAAATCTGAGTTGATAGTAAACATTATTTGTACTGCCTTATGGTGGAACCATGTATATATACACAAAGGGGATCAGATTCCCTTTGGCAAGGAATTTCAGAATGGATTTTTCAGCATCAATCAAAAATAGGTCAGGGTTGGCTGATACCACGTGCTTGGACTGCGAGGACCCATGTCCAGTCTCCAACACTTTGACTCTGAGGTAATGGGAGGCAGTAGAATGCTTTCCTTTGGAAATAGTGTGCCTGCTGTGTTCTGCAAATCTACCAAAGATTCTTGTGTAAAGGGTTTCTCAGTGTCTGTGTGCGCAGACCTGCATCTTCCTGCTTCCTTCGTGGGGTTAACTCCAGCCCTTCAGTTAATCATCTGAAGAGGATTGGGGAGGGACCACAGGCAGCTGGCCAAAACCTCTGCCCTCTGCCAAAACCTCCAAATTTAGCATTGGAGTTGTTTGCATATGGTGAGGGAGTGACTAGCCATTGCTTGAGCATTCTTCCCAAGTAAGCGCCTTCTTGTGGGTGGCACTGGGAGGACAGTGGTGACCTGCACCATAGGCCCTGAAGATGTTATTTTGAATGGAACCTTTGATGTCATTTTTAGGGAACAGAAACCAAGTAACAGAGGCCAAGGACCGTGCATATTTCGAGGAGGGAAGGTGAGCACCCTCTGCTGGCAGTATTTGGAGTTGCTTGAGTGAGGATCTGTAAGCAGCCTGGAAGGAGTGCTGAGGTCAGCAGGTCTCAGGCATCCTCAGCTTGCAAACAATCTTGGGGAAACCAGAAGTTCATTCCCAGCAGTTTTTGTAATGCCTGTCATTGCAGGCTGTTGGATTTATGTTGTTCTCTCTGGGTGTGATCTATCATGTATCTGATAGTCTTTATGGATAATTGTTTGGGTTGTAAACTCCTATACTCTTTATTAAAATGAACCTAATTAAGTGACTGTAAGTGGTGTGTTTTTTCTTAAGTGGGATCTTCCATGGATTAAAGGGCCCTAGGCACTTTTTACCAGCACAGAGCCTGGGATAGATTCTAGTATTTCTGAACAGACACCAGTATTGGTACAGAGAAACTAACAGGAAATGAACCTAAGCTATTCCAAGCTCCCTGTCATGAGAGAGAACCTGCCTGCCTGCCTTACAACTGTGAAGAAAACAGTTAGGGTGGTATTTGAACTTTCCTGAGCTGACTTAATAGGAGTCAAGAACTGGCGATATGCCGTGTCCAGAAATTGTGTTCACAATCCAGGGCCCCAGAGTTCTGGTGTTGTACACATGAGTGAAGCCAAAGTTGCCCACATTTTGAGAGAACTTACTTACCATCTAAATATAAACCTCCACCTGCTTCTGTGATTTCTTTGATCTTGCTATGTAACCATGACTGATCTGGAACTTAATATTTAGAGCAGGCTAGCCCCAGACTCACAGAGACCTGCCTGCTTCTGCCTCCTGAATGCAGGGATTAAAGCCATGTGCCAGCACACCTGGCTAGTTTTATGATTTAAAGTTCTTAAGTGTTGCCTGGAGGCGGCGGCAACACACACTTTTAACCCCAGCACTTGAGAGGCAGAGGCAGGTGGATCTCTGTGAGTCAAGTCCAACCTAGTCTACAGAGCGAATTCTAGGACCGTCAAGGCTACACAGAGAAACCTTGTCTTAAGAAAGCAATCAAACAAAAAATCCTCCACTGATCTGTGTTTCAAGGTTGCAGCAACCGTCACCAAAGCTGCTTTATTTATTTTATAAGACTGTAGGTGTTCTTGGGGAAGACAGACGCCCACTGAGCCTTCTACCAAGGTGTGGGACAGGACTCCCATTGGGAGGAGCCAGATAAATGCCACTAGCAGATGGCTGAAACCTGTGACTCTAGACTCTAGCCTTTCCTAGTGGTTTTCCTTGAGTTCACCTCATCAGCTGAAGTTGGAGCACATTGTGGAAGGAGAGGAAGTATCTCCTCGATGTGCTTTCAGGTCGGCTGAGCCCAGAGGCAGTCCACGGTCTCTAGTGGCTCTCTCCTGAAGTCAGAGCTGGTGGAACCCCACTTCTACCTTGACAAAATTTAAATACAAATTTTGACTTGGGATATTTGACTATTAGGTATAGGGAGTACATGCAGGGCATGGTTGTGCACGCCTTTAATTCCAGCACTGGGGAGGCAGAGGCAGGAAGATCCCTGAGTTCGAGGCCAGCCTGGTCTACAAATCAATTTCCAGCACAACTAAGGCTACACAGAGAACCCTGCCTCGAAAAACCAAAAACCAAACAAAAGCATAAAGAGTATAAAAGAGCACAGTGGAAGAAGGTAGTATTAAACCAAAATATTTTAAAGACAGAATCTCACCCTGCTTGGCCTCAAATTCATGGGTGATCCTCCTGCCTCAGCCTCCTTTGTGCTGGGATTAGGAATGTGACATCACATCATCTGTAAAATTTGTAATGAACCGAAAGTTGACTAATAAGTCTCCATTGTATGTAGGAAAGAATATGTCTCAAAGAAAACAATGATAATAGCCAAACATGCATTCTATGGGCAAGTGATTAAGATTTGAATTGGCTTAATGGAATTGCTTCATAGTTTACCCACATATTAGCGACCTAATCCTTAAAACTTGAGGATGTGGGGCTAGATGGGAGGTGGGGAGAACTGGGAGGAGTAGAGGGAGGAGAAACTGTCATCAGGATATGTTATGTGGGAAGAAAAAAAAAATCTATTTTCCGTAAAGGGGGGAAATAAAACAGCCTGCCTTGGCTCACTCGCAGCACCGCCCTCCACCTGTAGGGGGCACGCTTCCCGTGACCGCCTTCTCCCCAAGGTCTGAGTCTGCCGAGGACTTGGAGACTAAGGAGGCGTGTCCGCGCAAGCGCACCGGCACTGAAACGATGGCGGCGGCCGAGCGGGCGTGGGGAGCTGTAGCTGGCGTAGCCGGACTATGCAGGCGGTAGGTGTGGGTGCCCCTGCCAGCAATTCCCTGTCGCCGCCCTCTCACTGGGAGGGGACTGGTGTCTAACGGAGTCTTGTCCTGGCTCCAGAGCCCAAGGCCCGGCCACCCTCTACGGACGTCCCGTCCCGTTGTCAACCCCGTAGGGATGTGGCTCCGAAGGGAAGACTATTTCCCGGGGTGGTTCCCCTCCCATTCCGGAGAAGCGCATTCAAGGGCACGGCTCGGAGGGAAGCGACTCCAGGGAACCTACCGCCCAGGCCTATGCCTTTCGTGTCCTGTTGCACTTCAGAGCCACCCTGATTCTGACTTCTTCAGACATCTGCCAGACCCGTGTGACTCCTGAAGAAAAGGGCCTAACAGAATGCTGATGGTTACCTTGAAGTTTCAAATGCATTTCATGAGGGGTGAGCTTGTAGCTCACCCCTGTGTCTTCTCAGCACTTGAGAGGTGAAGGCAGGAAGGAGTTCAAGGCCAGTCTGGACTATATGAGACCCCTGTTTTAAAACTCCTAATACACCTTATAAAAATAGCAGATTAACAGAGGGTTTTGTGGGTTGCCCACTTCTCCCCTGTTTTCGATAACTTTTCTTGAGTACTTTGCTCCGGGTCTCTTAGAATTCAGACCTTCCTGCCAGAGTACCCTTCTGATTTCTCCACTCCGCTGCTGCTCTTTCCCAGGGTTGACCGAACAGTAACCCTGAGATGCCAGGATGTTTCCAAATCCTGGACTATTCCCTCCATTCACTTAATGTGCAGTTACCGGTTGCTACATAGTGATAACAGCTGCCATTTAGTGAACACTTAGCCTGGTATGTCCATGGATTGATAGGTGTCCCTTCGGGAGAATGATCTATCATGCTCTGTATGCCTTTTGTTTAGAGTGCAATTATTAAGTATACAGCAAACAGTAGCATAAGACAGCAAACAGCAGTGTTGAGCGTGCCAGACCAGACACGCCATTCAGCAGAACAGACAGGGAAGCTCTGGGAACCAACAGACTGGGGACTCTGGTGGACAAAGGAAGTCCAAGGCAGAGTATCTTCTCCTGGGTATGACTTTAGCCATTTCTATCATAGGCATCTTTACGTCATGTGGTTAAACAGTAGCTGGGTCTAGTAGGAGAGCTGCCTGGGAATGTCTGCCTTCCCAGCTCTGCTCAAGGGACACTGTTTTCACCCCTCCCGTTTACTCTCTGGTCTCAGGAGCGCGATGGTTTCACTCTTGGGCTGTTTGGCTCTTCTGTTCTTCTTTGACCAACAGGGAATCTTGGAGGACAATTTGAAGCGAACACTTAAGGCAGTGGATCCCTGGTTTGCAAAGCTAATTCCGAGCAGCCAGGGCTACACAGTGAGACCCTGTCTCAAAATTAAGAAAAAAAAAAAAAAAGAACTGATTCAGAAGTCAGAGCTGGAACATTTTTCACTACTAAAATGTCCTTTCCCCCCTGCCCTTTCTTAGCTGTGGTTACTTTCAAAGCTCCCTTTGTTCTCACTTTAATGACGCCTTGAAAATCCCCAGTCAATGCTTCTCTATCAGAGAGAAAGGAAGTTCCACCACTCATGTCTGTGAGTCCAGAACCAGGGAAGCAGAGGCAAGACTATCACCTGGCTACACCGTGATGCCCTGTCCACCTGGCTACACCGTGATGCCCTGTTTCCAAACAACAACAGAACAGAGTCGACTCCTTACCATGTCATTCATTGTTTCTTTAAATATAGGTTCTGTCATGTGGTGACTCCATACACCTTTAAGAAACAACCTCTGCACCAGTATGTACGAAGACCACTTTTCCCGATGCGTGCACCCTTGTCTAACACAGGTACACTTTCACCTCTTCTGAGAACATTGTGGAACAGTGCTAGAGTTAGCGGTCATAAAAGACAAAATTTTAAAGGTTTCTTCAAATTTTTTTTGTTACATTTATTTGTATGTGTGAGAGTGTGCCACACTGCCTTTTGTTTATTTAAGAATGAGCACTTGGAAGGGGCTGGAGAGATGGATCAGTGGTTAGAGCACTTGCTACTCTTGCCGAGGGCTAGGTTTGAGTCCCAGCACCCATATGAAAGCCTACAGCCATTCATGACTCCATTCTAGAGGGTGGATGGCCTTTCTCGACCTCCGCAACACTTCAGACACGTGGTACACATACATACATGCAGGCAAAATATTTACATATATATAAAAAAATCTTAAAAAATCAGGGCACCTTGTTATCTAACTTAAACTGTTTTTTCTAGCATAACACTCTTTCTCTTTTTCAGTACGATTCATGTTTATTCAAACACAAGACACCCCAAATCCCAACAGCTTAAAGTTTATACCAGGAAAGCCGGTTCTTGAGTCGAGGACCATGGATTTCCCCACACCAGCTGCAGCTTTCCGCTCGCCCCTGGCCAGGTACCATTTCTGCTGGTTCTTCCCTGGAAGCACAGTGGCCCTCTGTCTGGGCAGCCTTGCAGAGCTAACACATTTGGCTGGCAGGTTGGTTTTGGAAGAGTTGAGTTGAAATTACAAAAACTTTCTCCTGGGAGTGTATTTGACAGCTTGGTAGCATAAATACTTAACTTAAGAAGGAAGTTCACCAAATGGGTAATTATGATAAATTTCTTATCTAAATCTTTAAAACTCAAAATGTTAAAAAAAAAATGTGTGTGTGGGCGGGGGGAATGGTATGAGTGTGTGGGGGGGGGGCAGGGTATGAGTTTGTGTGTGTGTGTGTTCATTTGTTTTTGGTTTTTTTTTAAGACTTATTTATTTATTTATTATGTATACAACATTCTGCCTCCATATATCCGTGCACCAGAAGAGGGCACCAGATCTCATAGTTGCTTGTGAACCGCCATGTGGTTGCTAGAAATTTAACTCAGGACCTCTGAGCCATCTCTCCATCCGTCCATCTTAGTTTTTTAGACAGGGTCCCTCTCAGAACCCACTGCTCCCTTACTTAGTAGACTGGATGACCAGAAGGTCCTCGGGATCCCCTGCCTCTCAAGCTCTGGGCTTATGGGTGTGTGCTGCCATGGCCAACTGTGTACATGTCTGCTGAGGATTTGAACGCAGGCCCGCTCATGTGTGTGCTGTGTACTTTATCCATTGAACCATTTTCACGAGGACTTTTCAAAATGTTTGGAGATGGGAGATGGACATCACTTGTAGCCTAGGCTGATCACATGCTCGCTGTGTAACTGACTGGCCTTGAACCCTTGCCTCCACTTCCTGGTGTTGGGATTACAGATGGCTGCCACTATGCCCAGCTTAAATCTCTGATTTTCAAGAACTATGAAAAGGTGCTCCTTTAATTCCATAGGAAAAAGTAACTAAGTTTCATAAATGAGACAGTTATCAGATGTAGCACGACCTTTTAAAATCAGTGAGGACAGTTTCTGAGTTCACGAGAAACATATTAAATGTGTCAGGGTAGTAAACAAGGTACAGCAAACCTCCTCTGAACCTATGGCTGGAGCAGTCATTTGTGCTGAGAAATACTAGAGTCAGCACCAGCTGAATTCTTGCTAGCTTACTTTCCATGCAGAATGTGCGCTCTGCCTTTGAGTTGCACCCTGACACTATTAGAATTTCCACCTGAGGCTCCTTGCCAAGCACATGTAGAAATCAGCACTGGTAACTTTCCTATACACGACCCGAAGGCAAAGTGAGGCTCAGAAAGAAGTTTTTAACTTTCTAGCTCATAAATATGTACAATTTTTCTGACTTACGCATGCCATTTCTCATAATGCACTGTAGACCATTTATTTTTCGTGCTTCTGATACAGACAACAGTTAGAAGTATGTATATTATAATTTAGTGCACATGCCTGTGTGTAAAACAAGTGTGTGATGAGTATTTCCATCTTTTGCACTTGTACAGTAGGAAATAGTGAGGTGGGCAACAGCACTTGTTTCCCTTGCAAAGAATTCGAGTTCGATTCCAGCACCTGGCAATTCACACCTACCTGTAACTCCAGCTCTGAGGGACTCCAGTGCCCTCTTCTTGCCTCTTCAGACTCTGCACTCATGTGCAGATACATAGATACATGTGCGTACACATAAAACAAATAAAATAATTCTTTAAAAAAATTACAGTAGGTAATAGGCTTTCTCATGTTTTTCATTTCTTTTTGTTATTTAGTTTGGCTTTATTTTATTAAATATAATGAAGTCCTCATCACTATTTAATTAATTTCACAGCTCTATATTGTGTTTTTTTTTTTTAAAGAAATACAACTTCAGAAACACACAAGCATACAAGATTTGCCTAGGATGTTTATTAGTCTGGTTGCACATGCATGGGCATAAGCAAACACTGACACATGTAAAATAAACAAATCTAAAAACTAACATTTACAAAAAGACATATATATGTCTCTGTGTGTCTGCCTGTCTTTGTAATGGATTAGGTAAAATGCTGTGGATTCCCTAGTGACTGCAGTGGTCCCGGAAACACTGCAGGTCCCCAGGCAGTGGCAGTGGGCATCGGGTCCAGAGAGAGCAGCCCATTCCAGTCCCAGGCAGGGACTACACAGTTCCCAAGTGGCTGCAGTGGGCCACGAGGGGCAGTGAGTTCCACAAGGAGAGACAGACATGTGGGCATGCCATGAGACCATGGAAAAGAAGGGACTCAGGCTAGAACCTGAAGAGCAGCTTGCCTTGGTGAAGCGGGGGAGGGCATGGCTTGTCTCTTAAAGGGACAGAGTAGACCATTACAATCTGTCTGTCTGTATCTGTGTGTCTTGCAATACTGGAGATTGACTCTAGGGCCTTAGGCATGCCAGGCAGGAGTTCTGCCGCTGATCTACAGCCTCAGCCTGAGACATAACACGCTGTTAAGTGAAGACAAGCTGCAGAACAGTGGTGCAATGTGATAATATCCATGTAGCCCTCTTCCTAAATCAAAACAGCACTTGACTCCATGAAAGTTCCTGGAGAAATGCACACCAGGACAATCTAGGATTTTAATTTCCTGCTTAGTTTGATTTTAACTTTTTAGCGTTTTTGCTTTTTTGAGATTGGTCTAAGTAGTTCAGGCTAGCCTTGAACTACTGATCCTTTTGCCTCCATCTTTTGAGTTCTGGGCTTAGAGGCTATGCTATGTTGCCTGTCTTTAACCTTTTATTGTTGAAATATTTGCATCCAAAAACAGTTAGTGTAACCCTGTGTGGTGACACATGCCCATAAGCCCAGCACCCTGGTCACAAAGCAGAACTGGGAGTTTGAGGCTAGCCTGCACTACACAGTGAGGCCCTTTGTAAAAATACACACACACACACACACACACACACACACACACACCCCAAAACAACAAACAAACCAACAAAAAGTCAAAAACAAAACACCTCTTCACTAGAGTGATAGATTTCTCACTGAGCATGGATTGAGCACTAGGTTCGATTTTCTACTACCACAAAACAACTAGGAAAAAAATTCCCGTTTTCTTGTTTTCCTAGAGTTTATTATCTTCAACTAAGCAGACTGGTCTTGTCTGTGCTGAGCTGTCGCAGGGAATGTTTTTGCTAAGCTTCTGAGAGAGGTCAGCCTGTCTTTTGTCTTCCTGGAACCTGGCACTTAGAGATGCCGGGTATCTTCTGAGTGAAGGAGCAGGTGAGCCTGTGTCTGACTTCAGGAAGGGCTTCAGAATGTCCTCGTGGGTCTCAGCGACGCTGTCTTTTCCCACGGGAAGATGTGCTGCAGTTTTTGTGTGTGTCACAGCCTTTTCACGATTGCCAGATGGTGGGCGTGTTTGGGGGTGCTCTTCAGATCCATGTGTGCCTTTGAGGAGCAAGTGTGCTGTGCTCTTGGGCAGACACCTAGGGTGAGGCAGCTGGCTGCAGGATGTCAGAACAAAGCTGTCTGGAGTGGGTAGCATTCCAGCCAGGGATAGCTAACTTGTCTCTTCACTTCTGCATGGGTTTATCGTCTTTCTTGACATCTTTTTCTTTTTCTGTATTCACAGGCAGTTATTCAGGATTGAAGGAGTGAAGAGTGTCTTCTTTGGACCAGATTTCATCACAGTCACAAAGGTACAGTTATGAGTATAAAGCTAAACTAGCTGACTTGTAGCTATTTCTGAATTCAGTGCCCCTCCCTCTCCAGAACGTTCTTTGTTCTTAGGTTTTCAATTTCCCTTCTTTGGTTTCTCATAGATAGTCTTGCTGTGTAGTTCAGGCTGCCTTGAAACCTATGTCCTTCCTTCCTTGGACTCCGTTGCTGGCACTACAAACATGCCATACCCTACCCTACCTTAGAATTTTCACTCTTAATATGCTACAGTTTTTAATAACACTGTGTTATTAAAAAAATCTCAGGTGAGAGACTGGAGAAATAGCTCCACAGTTGAGAGCGCTGGTCTCCCTTGCAGAGAGCCCAGTTTAGATTCCCAGCACCGACGTGACAGCTCACAAACATCTATAACCCCAGTGTTCCAGGGACCTAGTGTTCTCTTCCGACCTCACTGGGCACCAGCCACACACATGCTACATATACACATATGCAAAACATTCATGCACATAAAATAACATAAGTAATACATAAAAAATCTCAGGTGATGTTTACTTCTTAGCTCTGTCAAGTTGCTAGAGGCCTTTCCTAGCTGCAGTTACTTATGATCCAGGTGTCACTGATCTTCAGCCTCATCCGTGCAGCAGGCTCAGTGCAGTGTCCAGAATTACAGGGCTAGCCCACAGCAGGTTGCAGCCTTGGCAGGACTAGGAGTTCAGCTTCTAGGCTACTAGAATAAAAATTTTTTCCCTAAAATTTAAATAAATTAAAAACATTTTAAATTGCATGTTTTATTTTGTGTGTGTATTTGTGTTCAGGCATGCACATGGAATCAGGACAGTTTGCAGGAGGCAGTTCTCTCCTTCCACCATGTGGGTCCCAGGGATCAAATGCAGGCTGCCAGGCTTGGTGACAAGCTTTTACCCACTGAGCAATCTTGCCTGCTCCTAAATAGTATTTTTACCAATTCCTGCTGCGAGTCGATGGAGTAAAAAGGGAACCAAGTCCATATTATGAACAAATTACATATGCATCTGTCAGGTGCCATAGTACAATACCCGCTCTGAAAGGGATGTGCTTATGCAGTCTTTTGACAAATGCACATACAACTAATTTCAGATATAGGGTGTTTTTCCATAGTTCACTGTCCTGCAGCAGTACTGTGAGCTGGACCATGGTGGTGCATGCCTTTAATCCTAGCACTCAGGAGGCAGAGGCTGGCGAATCTCTGAGAGTTCAATGTCAGTCTGGTCTACAGAGCGAGTTCCAGGACAGTCAGAGCTGCAAGGTGGGACCCTGACTCACCAGAAAAAAGAAAAGGTTCTTGAAAGATCTGAGGTTGTAATCTGGATTTGCTTTGCACTTGGCTGGAAATGCAACATATTTCTTCAACATGATTATAGGAGAATGAAGAATTAGACTGGAATTTACTGAAACCTGATATTTATGCAACCATTATGGACTTCTTTGCATCTGGCTTACCCCTAGTGACCGAAGAAACACCTCCAGGAGAAGCAGGTAGTGTTGCATTGGTAATGGATGCTTATCTGTTTCTTACTGGACTTCCTACTTTGCTCGTCTTCGCCTTGATTGCAGAAGTGACCAGAAAACAGATTTTAAAATGTTTTTATTAGAATATATTAATTATGCATAATTATGGGTTTCACTACGGCATTTTATACGTATATGTGATGTGTTTTATCGTAATCACCCTCTATTCCTCTTTCCTTGTCTGCTTCTCAGTCATGATGGTCCCCTTTCTCTTCTCATCCAGCCCCTCTCCACGCTCATGCTCTTTGTGTGAGTGACTCAAAGGAGACCTGGTAGGGCCGCTCATAGGAACTCAGGTGAGATGTCACCTACTGGGGCATGAGCACCTTACCAGTGGTTACACCACTATAGACGATGGCCTTCTTTCCCAGCAACCAGTAACTTTGTGTGGGTCCTCAGGGAGGGTGGAGCCTCATGAGACCCACCTCCTTCCATGTTCAGGTACCTGATCTGAGATAAAAATATCAGTTTTTAAAATTGTTTTTTATTTGATTTGTATGGGTGTTTCCCCTACATCTCTGCCTGTGTACTACCTTATGTGTGCCTAGCCAGATGAGGCCAGGAGAGGGCACCAGATCTCTCTGGAACTGGAGTTAAAGACAGTTGTGAGCCACTGGTCACTTGGTTTCAGCACTGCCAAGTTCAGAGTCTCTGCAGTAGCTTCTACCTACTGCTTGAAGAAGCTTCTCTGGCCAAAGATAGCAGTCCTAACCTGGACAGAAGGAGGCTATTTCAGAAGGAAATAGTTGAGTATAGCATGTCCTTTAGTCAAACAGCTTCTCCACAAAGGCCTGGGCCTCTCTGTCACAGGTTTAACCAGGTTACAGCGGCAGATCTGGCTCCCTCCTATGGAGCCGGCCTCAGTTCCTGTCAGGATGCAGCTAGTTACCCCATGCCAGGCTTGCCGCTGTTTCATCAGCGGGCGCATCTGGCCTGCCTACTGTAGCCCTGGGGTTCGTAGCTGAGTGAGACGGTTGGCACAGTTGTCCCCCAGCACCTGCTACCACCTTGTAGCCCTCGAGCTCACCAGCAGGGAGGAGACTTCAGGAGGAGGATCTCACTGTCTAGTTCTGGGAAACATCCAAGAGCATGGGCGTATTTTTAATCATTGAGTAAATTTGGCTTGGGAACTAATTCTTGATGGAACAAAACTTCATATATACTGTTGTTTTTGGTTTTTCAAGACAGGGTTTCTCTGTGTAGCCCTGGATGTCCTGGAACTCACTCTGTCAACTAGGCTGCCCTTGAACTCACAGAGATCTGGATGCCTCTTCCTCCTGAGTGCCTGGATTAAAGGCATGCACCACCACTGCCAAGCTGTTTTCTTAAAAGTTGTGTGAACACTGAATCTATTATGCAAAACTAAAATTTTTAACTATGAAAAATTTTGGGAATTCTGAAAATTCCCAAAAATCATATATTGACACAAACTTGCTTCCACTTGATTTAACAGATGTTAGTGGTTTCAGGAAGAGGGTATCGAGCAACAAGCAAATGTTAATTTTTCCATAGTTGCTTTAGACCCACTTTTTTCCTTTTTAAAAAATTGTTTTTATTGAGCTATACATTTTTCTCCCCTCTCTTCCCTTCCTCTCCTCTCTCTCCACTTCTGCCCTCTCCATGACCCCTACACTCCCAGTTTACTCAGGAGAGCTTGTATTTTTCTCCTTCCTATGTAGATCCATGTATGTCTCTCCCTGGGTTCTCCTTGTTGTGTGGGTTATCTGGGGTTATAGACTGTAGGCTGGGTTTTCTTTGCTCTATGTTTATAAGCCACTTATGAATGAGTACATATTATATTTGTCTTTCTGGGCCTGGGTTATCTCACTCAATATAGCTTTTTCTAGATCCATCCATTTGCCTGCAAATTTCAAGATGTCATTATTTTTTACTGCTGAGTAGTACTCCATTGTGTAAATGTACCACATTTTCTTTGTCCATTCTTTGGTTGAGGAGCATCCTGGTTGTTTTCAGGTTCTGGCTATGACAAACAATGCTGCTATGAACATAGTTGAGCACATGTCCTTGTGTTATGATTGAGAATCCTTTGGATATATACCCAAAAGTGGTATTGGTGGGTCTTGAGGTAGATTTTTTTTTCCTAATTTTCTGATAAATCACCATACTGATTTCCAAAGTCGCTGTACTGACTCAAATACCTCATCACAAGGAATTTATCTCACGGATGTGCCTAGAAGCAGGGGTGTTGCCCAGGACTAGATACTAAACCCGTCAAAGTGCCAGTGAGGCAAAGCTCTACCAAGATCACTTTACAATGAGCCTGTTTTCCTGTGCAGATGGAAAGACTTTCAAGGGACTCTAGGAGTGAAGTGTGGATCAGGTGAAGCCTGGTCTCACCTGTGTAAATTTACACTTGGAGATGTGCACATGCTTGGAGGAAGCCCTGCTCTCAGGTAGTAACAGGGATGGGAAGGCAGCTTAGGACTGCTGCTCTAAGAGCCTTTGACTCGGGTTAGAACAGTTTAATATAAATTACTTATGGGGTTGCCAGGAATCTAATATTTATTACAGTACAGCATGGAATCTCTTTATCTTTTTGCAGACGAATACATTTCTTGAAAAGAGCATTACATTTTTTATACAGGCATTGGTAAAACCTACATAAAGCTTTACAAAATTCAAGCAGTGGCCAAGGATATAGTTCCTTGGTAGAGTACGTGCTCCATGTGCAAGGCCATAGGTTCCTCCCAGCACCGCACATGTATACTCATACAAACACATGCGCGTTATACACACAGACATGTTCATATATGTGCACTTGCACATATACGTAGACGTGCGCACACACACGATAAAGCAAAACCAAAATGAAACACCATTCTTAGCTCAGATTTGCAAAGCATTTGGAACTTTCCAGAAGGCCTACATCTGTATTTGATATAATTATCTTGAAAAATCACTAAATCGAGAAACAGAAAGTTAAAAAGATGCTTCCTAAGTAGCTGTGCCTTTCCATGTCACATTTACAGCGAGATCAGAGGGGCATTTCTGTGCTGCTCTCGGTCCTTGAGAGTTGGTTTGCTCCCCATCTCAGCCCCAACACAATCAGGCTTCACTGAAGGCTGTATTCCCCTGTATTACTGAATGTTGAGTGACTATTTTCCCTTGGTTTTTCTTTTGTGAACCACATGAGCCATGTTACTTTACCAAGCTTTGTGTTCTATTTTGTTGTTGTTTTTGTTTTGTATTTTGAGACACGGTCTTGCTCACTCTATAAACCAGGCCGGCCTCTCATTTTCCGTGATCCTTCTTAATCTGCATGAGTACACCATGTCTGACTTTGCTTTTGTGTGAAAACCCTCCTGGTTTAATGCTTATATAACTACAAAATTGGTACTCTTGAGTTTTTATTTATAATTTTTTTAGGTTCTGAAGAAGATGATGAAGTTGTGGCAATGATTAAAGAACTGTTGGACACTAGAATACGGTACGTGTTAAAACCCCCAGCACCCTCTGTCCCCTCCACAATCCAGTGCTGCAAAGATAGCTCTCATTAAAGCAGCATGCTTTTACCGGAGAGGGAAGCAGGGCTCCAGAAAAACAGGGAGTGTAACCAACATAGGTCACCTTCTCAAATGAACTGAAGGCTGTGCCTTAGTATTCAGTGACATCTTTAAAACTATAGTCTGTGTGCACATGGTCAAGATGAATTTTCCCTCACGGTCTGTATAGGAAAGAACTTCATATTTGTGAGCATTGTGACGAGAATGGCACCCATGTGCTAACTGCCCGAAAAAGAATAAAGACAGGAGCCAGGCGTGGTGACACAAGTGTTCCCTAGGGGAGCAGGGGCAGGAGGAGCTTTGTGAGTTTAGGCCAGCTTGGTACACACAGTGAGACTTTGTCTCAAAAACAATGCACAAAATAGAAAAAGCAAGGATGAAAACAAGACTAGTGAACAGCCTGTTTCCATGTCTCTCACAGCAGACCAGGAAGTCTGGACTTTTAAAATGTTTCCTTCTTTAGGTATTTTAAGAAACAATTTAGAAATTTAAAATAAGAGGCTGGCTAAGTGGCAGGGATCTACTTACGTGTGTAGTGGCACACGCCTTTAGTCCCAGCACTCAGGAGGCAGAAAGAGGTGGATATTTAAGATTGAGGCTAGCCTGGTCTACAGAGCAAGTTCCAGGACAGTGAGGGCTTCTCAGAGAGACCCTATCTCAAAAAACAAACAAACCTATTGGCTTTACCTTTAAACTCAACAAAGAGAAACTGAAGTAATCCTTAATACTGGGGATATTCCAACTGGTGTTTAAGATAGGTGATTAAAATGTTAAAGAAAATAAATGAAAAGATGAGGAAGCCGGGCGGTGGTGTTGCACGCGTTTCATCCCAGCACTTGGGATGCAGAGGCAGGTGGATCTCTATGAGTTCGAGGCCAGCCTGGTCTACAAGAGCTGGTTCCAGGACAGGTTCCAAAATTACAGAGAAACCCTGTCTCGGGGGGACGGGGGCGAAAAGATGAGGAATTCCTGCAAGAACAGGAATCTCTAAGAAAAGAATATTTGTAGAACTAAAAATATAGTAAATGAAGAACCCATGAGATTACTTTCATGTGTGGTGTGACATGGCTGGAGTGGACTCACGCGTGTTGGAATGTAGAACAGTAGTGAAAACCCAGGTTGAAGCACACAGAAAGACGGAATTTGGCGAAAGAAAAAAGGCACAAGCATCATGCATGCAGAAAAGCACATATAGTGTCCTAATGGTTAATTGGATAGAAGCAAGATAAATGACCTAAATAGGAGGTGAGTGTGAATAATGCCGAGTCTTGGCATTATTTGAGACACGGTAAAAGCAATCTTTCATGGTAGAATAAAAGATCTGAAGTAGGTGTGATGGGGTGATAGCAGCAGCGAAACATAACAAGCAGCTGTGCAGAAGAGAGGGCAGCTGTGCAGAAGAGAGGGCAGCTGTGCAGAAGAGAGGGCAGCTGTGCAGAAGAGAGGGCAGCTGTGCAGAAGAGAGGGCAGCTGTGCAGAAGAGAGGGCAGGCGAAAGAGTGAACGGAAACGCAGATACAGCTAAAGACACATACAGTGGCTAACAGAGGATAAGATTGTCACAATGTGAGAAACCAACTTCATGCTCCTTATAAGGGTACCTGCTTAAATGTAGGACAGAAACATTGAAAGTAGGACACTGGAGAATGCATAGCTTTCGGACAGTGAGGGGAGGGGGGGCTACTGGAATTTAACAGACACCAGAAGACATTGTACCTGACCGCTGTAGATGCCACCACACAGTGGGAGTATTTGCTACCAGGATCATATTCTAGCCATCTAATAACACAGATTCAGAATAAATGAAGAATATTGGACAGAGATAGAAGTAACCCACAGTAGGTGAGGAAATTAATACCTCTATCTAACAAAGCACAAAAAAATAATTGGGCAAGAGAGAGTTTTAGAACTTATGATTTTTATTTATTTATTTTCGAGACAAGGTCTCACTTTGTAGCCCTGGCTGGCCTGAAACTTGGTATATATGCATACCACCAGATAGATCTCTGACTCACAGAGTTCCATTTGCCTCTGGCTTCTGATTGATGGAATGAAAAGCTTAGTAAACCACCATTCCCAGGGCAGGGTAGAGTTTTAAACATGTAGTTAGCAATTAACTAAACATTGACATATGTATAATGTACTCAGCAAGAATGATGTATTATTTTCCTGTATATATGGATCATGCACTAAAGCAGCTTGTATGCATGTTCAGAAAGCAGCCCTTATCAAATTTCAGAGTTAAATTCATTGAGACTGTTGGGTTTTGTTATTTGGTTCTGGGGGTTAAACCAGGATCTTGCACTTCATAAGCATGTGCTCTACTACTGAGTCACCCTGCCCACCACCTCCCACACCCCCATACCAGCCCGCCCCCCGGGAATACTGTTTCCTGACTGCAGTGGGATGGAGTGCTCTTCAGAATGGCTTAAGGTTAGGCAGGTAACAATCTAAGTCAACACAGAAATTATGGTGGATACCTTAACTGGGATAATATGGAGCCATTGGGATGGCTCACTGGGTTGTGTTACTTGTTGTCAAGTCTGGTGACCTGAGTTTCATCTCTGAGACCCACAGGGTAGAAGGAGATCACTGACTCCTGAAAGTTGACCTTTAGCCGTCATAGGCACACAGCAACATATACACACCCCCAGAACAAATAAATACAATAAATTAAATTAATTAACATCTGCATGACCTTGGCTGGGCAGGTTTGTTTTGTTTGTTTTTATTCACAAGGTTACAAGGAAATTGGAAAAAATCAAAGAAAAGACAAATTAGACAATAGTAAAATCATGCCTTTCTCAGTATATAGGACCGACAAGATGACTTAGTGGATAGGAGTACCTGCTGCTGCTCTTGGCAACCCAGACGCTATTCTAGAAACCACGTGGTGAAATAGAGAGAAAACTCCTACAAGTTGTCCCCAGCTTCCACATGCATGCTGTGACACATGTGTGCAAGCATACACACAGACACAAAACAAAGGTGAGGCAAAATTAAGAGGGCTGAAGAGATGGCTCAGTGGTTAAGAGCACTTACTGCTCTTGTAGAGGACCCAGGTTCAGTTCCCAGCATCCACATGGTGGCTCACAACACCTGTAACACTAATACTAATTCTAGGGGGTCTGATGCCCTCTTCTATCCTTCAAGGGCTCCTGCATCTATGTGGTACACAAATAATACACACACGCGCACGCACACACATGCACACACACACACACACTCAGGCACACACATGTACACATAACTGCCTTATTTAAAGCTTTTTTGAAAAACTTTGCAGTGTGTGTATGACAGAATATATAAGAACTACAAATTGACAAGGAGAAACTGAAATAGAGGCTGGAGCAAGCACACAGCAAAAGATAGTAAGCAAACAGCCACTAAATGTGGAGGGGTGAAGAGTGTGCAGCCTTCCTACTCATTATGCATATCCAGATCAAGCCTCCACAGATGTTACTTCAAATCCAGCAGGCAGGCTCATCCATTTTGATTGACTCCAGTGGCTCATGAGATAGGCGTGCTCACCTGTCTGGTGGTGCCACGGACCGGCTCAGGTGAGCCACTCAGACCGTGGGGGAACAGGACGAAGGGACAGAAGATTTCAGAATATGGCGAAGGAAATGACAGACAGACCACCCTCAATGTATTTGAGAATGCTGCTGCGTTTTTACTTTTTTAGTGCGAGGCTTTTATATTTTTACAAACAAAGAACTTGGCAGAGGCATACATCTTCAGATCATAAAATAGAAAAGATCAGCACAAAACAGTTTTACAAAGAAAATCTTTAAAGATGCTTTGGCATGAGTACAAGGACTTTTGCTTCCTCACGTTCTGTAAAGTTAGCCTTCTTGTTTTTAGAGAGGCCACTGTTCTTAAGTTAGGCCATCTTTATCAGCTTACACCAGGTGGCTGGCTGGGTTAAGCTAAGTGACCTTGTGTGTCTGGATGAGAAAGAAGAAGACTACTATCTTCCTGGGAAAACTTTCTGCTAGGAAACTTTAAAGACATGATCTCAAACTTGTCTGAAACTCATCTCATACCATTAATCTCAACTCTCTTCCCTTCCCGACTCTCAGAGTCAGATGTTGTAATTAGTCTAGATTTACTGGCCATAAGGAAGGCTGCATAGGCCTCCTGTTAAATCGCACGTATTTTCCCAGGTAAATGCCTAATATTGTTTTCCTGTAGAAGGTTTCTAAGGTTTTTCCTAGTAAAATTAACTCCTTTTATTCCACATCATCAAGGAATTATCCTAACGATGACCCCCAATTCCCAGAACTGGCTACTTCTTTTAAGGCTTTAATGAATAGTGGGGCAGAGCTTGAAATGTTTTAAACAGTCTTGTTTGTATCTGCAACTGCCTGGAATACTTTGATCTGTTAGCAATATGCAAGGATCACAAAGAACACACAGACAAGGGAAAAGACAGACATATGGCGCCAAGGACAGTCAGGTCGAGTCAGTACAGGTAGCAATTACAGGTGGCATCATGACCACAGCTGATTGCCAAGGGACCGCCTGGAATACAGCTCCGAGAAGCACAGATCCCAATCCTCCAGCAACACTTGCCCATCCAGTCAGCATTTCTGCTACACTGGCGAGACAGCCGTGGATGTAGCATGGTGGCATGTAAGGGTGGGTAATTCTGGGAAAGTGGCATAGTTTAAATAATAGTCACACTTTTAATTTAGCTGGCTCGGAACTGAGTTTATAGCCCAGTCTAGCCTTAAACTCATGGCAGTCCGCCTGCTTCAGCTTTCAGTGCTAGGATTACAGGCACAAGCCTCTACTCCTGGCTTATGTTCAGAATTTGCCCCAGAAGTTTTGCCCTCGAGTATATGCCCATTCCTAATACCTATCCAAACCAAAAGATGCACAGATGAATCTTTACAGCCATGTTATGTGCATAAGTCAAATACCTATCAATAGCAGGGTGGTAATCAACTCTGTCAAGTTAGTGTAGTGGGATACCATGCAGCCATGAGATGGATAGGCTCTTATACTCGACAAGAACCAGTCATACACATGGATGGTTTAACACCAGAATTCATGGCCAATGAGGATGCTCAGCTGGGAAAGTCATTTCCTGATAAGCCTGCTACCCTGAATTCCATTCCCAGAACCTACATAGAGAAGGAAGTGACTCTGGAAGGTTTTACCTGACCACACATGTGCCATGTACACACACACACACACACACACACACACACACACACACGAGAGAGAGAGAGAGAGAGAGAGAGAGAGAGAGAAATAAAAATATAATTATTAAATTTAATCCAAGTTATGGGGCTGGGGAGGTGGCAAGATGGTAAAGTATTTGTCATGCAAGCGTAATGACCTGAGTTCAGTCCCCAGAACCCATATTAAGAAAGCTGGGCATGGGGTGTATGTTTGTAATTCCTGTGCTTGGGGCAGAAATTACTTAACCTAATAAATGGGTTCCTGTTCAGTGAGAGACCCTGAAAAGCCAAGAGGAATAGTGCCTAAGGAACAGCACTCAAGATTGGCTTTTGGCCTCTGCGCTACACATATTCATGAACCCCGATCCAAGAACTACACACACACACACACACACACACACACACACACACACACACACACGTAAGCACATGCACAAAACAGCAAACTATCTTAGTCGTTCTCATTGAAGGCATGCATCTGCTGTTTTAAATGTGTTCTGAATGTCCTGTGGCCACAGGCCGACTGTGCAGGAGGATGGGGGTGACGTGATCTACCGCGGCTTCGAAGATGGCATCGTGCGGCTGAAGCTCCAAGGCTCCTGCACCAGCTGCCCCAGCTCCATCATCACCCTGAAAAGCGGGATTCAGAACATGTTGCAGTTTTACATTCCAGAAGTGGAAGGTGTGGAACAGGTAGGCAACATTGTGGCAGTTTGGGTTATTGATGAAATGGGAACCAAGTCTATAACCTATCTTGACTTAGGAAAGCTCCATCGGTGGTTCTATTCTGAGGATTCAAAACACCATGCAATTTTATATAGATGGATATAAGCATGGAGGAACTCACATAATTTGCCAACCTCTTATTCTTCCTTTACTCCACTTCCAACGCCATTTTTTTCTTTTAAGATAGGTCTTGTGTGGTCCAAGATGACCTTGACTCTTACATTTGTATATACATGTGGGTGCATGTGCTTGCTTGTATATGTGGGTGTGTGCACTGGTGTGCATGTGCAGGTCAGAGGATAAAGTGGAATTGATTCTCTCCTTCCTCTTTATGTAAATTACAGGGATAGAATTCAGGTCATCAGCTTTGGCAGCAAGTGTCTTTACCCCTGAGCCATCTTGTTAGTCCCAGGTTTGTTTAGTGAGACAGAATTTCTCTCTAAAATCTAGACTGGCCTGAAAATTGCTATGTAGTCTAGGTTTGCCTGAAACTCATAATCCTCCTGCCTCAGCCTCCTGAGAGCTGGAATTACAGGCATGTGCACACTGATGCACAGTGAAAGTAGCACTAGCTGGGCTTTGGCTGTAGCTTATTGGTGTTTTTTGTCTCTAAGTGTGTAAGTAGCTAAGAAACAGGGCCTTTAGGAAAGGCAATCAAAGAGGAGACAGTTATGGACAGTAGAGATTTGAGAAACTCTTGTGAGTGGTTCTGTGGCTTTAGGTGTCTTCTTCAGTTGCTCAGAGAGTCACTTATCTCTGAGTAGTATTAAAGGCTGGCCTTTGGTCCAGTACAGGTCCTCATCAGTCCTGTGCTGGTGTGTGTCAGAGCTCTGTGTGTGTGTGTGTGTGTGTGTGTGTGTGTGTGTGTGTGAGAGAGAGAGAGAGAGAGAGAGAGAGAGAGAGAGAGAGAGAGAGAGCACTGTGTGTGTGCATGGCCTCCTAAAAGACTAGAAACCCTGTGTGTGCGTGTTTCTCTGCAGCAGCCCTGCTGGGTCTCACAGGTATCATTTGCACATTGACATTGATCAAGTTCTTGGGACTCTAACTCCAAATTTAGAAATGATTCTGCCTAAATAGGACTTGATATACAAAATTCTTTGCATTAGATATTGTTGAAATTGGATAGAAAATATTTATTTTTTTAAAGTAAGAATATCCATTTTTAGTTAATTTCAAGAGAAACTAGGAGGAGAGAATTCCTTTGTTAAGTATCTCTCTTCAGAACCCACCCAGATTCCAGTTCCATTTTAGTTTCTGTTGTGTTTGGTTTAATTAAGTTTGAGATGAAGTTTTGCTCTGCTGCCTGGCTGGTCTTGAGCTCCTGGGCTGAGTGATTCTGCTCAGCCTGCAGGTATCTGGGGCTTCTGCCACTGTGACCCGCTCATCAAGATTTGCTTTTTCATCATTACTTCCCCTCTTCATCCCCGATGCCTTTTGAAAAAAATAGTATTAGTTGGGGGCCAGTAGATTAACAAAGAGGAAACATTTTTATTCTCATGCCAGGGTGGGTACATAATTGACTGTTACAAACGTTAATTGTCATGTAATTGTAGTAGGTGTGGTAAGGAGAGAAACATTCACAGCTTTTTATAACTCCTTCTTTTCAGAGGTGTGGCCTTTATTATCCAATAATACACCAGCCCACACAGGACTGGTCTTTCTCTCTTTCCTTAAGTAGTGTTTGTTACCATTTTCCTTCCCTGAAAGTCTTCATTCTTCTTTAGGTTTAAGATAATTTTTATTTGAGTAAAACCAAAATAGTTTATAGAATTTTTTTTATTTTAAGAGTGTTTTTGGAATTCCTCTTTAAAAAAAATATTCTTTCTCCTGGTGGCGTTCGTGCACATCAGTTTAGAACTCATAGAGATTTGTTTACCTCTGTCTCTTGAGAACTAGAAATAAAGGCATATCTCCGTGCCATGTTTAAAACTTTTAAAATTACATTTACGGTATCATGTTCATGTGTGTGTGTACACACACTACAGCGCACAAGAGGAACCTTGCAATTAAACCACCCTGCGGAGGTTCACTCACCATGTTGAACTTGGGGATCAGCTCGGGTCTCAGACCCAGCAGCAGAGTCTATCCTGGAGCCGGCTTTCTGCTGGCCCAGCTGTTGGTTTTCTGAGGTCTCAAGTTGTCTAGACCTGCCTTAGAACCTGCTGTGTAAAGGAAGCTGGCCTTGAACTCCGGATTCTGTGATTGTAGGCATGCACTAGCAAACCAGACAGGATTCAGTTTTTAATTAACTATGTTTACAAGAATAATTAGTTAAACTTTAGGGAATATATTTCAATACATAAGATGCTTTTAAGTAAAGATGGTTAAACAGGTGAAAACACTCACTGGGCAAGCCTGGCAACCCAGGTCCCATCCTTGAGCCCTCTAAAGGTAACAGGAGAGAGCTGACTCCAGAAAGTTGTCCTCTGACCCTCACATGCACGAGGCATGCACACCACCCCTATTACACAACCCCATCACACACACACACACACACACACACATCACACACACACACACCCATCACACACCCCCATCATACCACCCCCATCACATACACCCCCATCACACACACAGATCACACCACCCATCACACACACCCACACACAGTTTTCTAAAAAGATAAAATATAAATTTCATTACTCTTTTCACTGAAGAATGTGAGCCATTCATTTTCAGTCTACACAGCCGAGACTCCACTGCCAGGGGCTGTCTTTGCGGTGAGGAAAAGAGTCTTTTATAGGTATTTAATTACTTTTATTATCTCAGGATCCCAGATTCTGATGGAATCCCGAGCTGTGGGCTGCTGAAGGCTTCCTTGCTGTTGTGGTGCTGTGCGTTGCCATGGGCTATTTCAGGAGTCAAGTGACATGCAAATCAGGAAAATAGCATTGTCTAATGTTTCCTTAACTCTTGAATTTCTTTTGTTTTCTGGCTTTAGGTGATGGATGATGAATCAGATGAAAAAGAAGCAAACTCACCTTAAATATTCTGCATTTTCTTTTGCTGCAACCTTTGGACTTAACTGTACAGAGTCTGTATTGATCTCTGCTCTGGAAGCTGATTAATAAAATGTTTCCTTCCTCCAGAATGATATAAATATCATTTGCTTCACCTCACAAGTTATTTATACCAGCCTGAGTCATCGTCCACACTCGTGGATTTTATCCAGGGCTATTTTTATTTCTACTCCTCATCTTTCTGGTTCTCCTTTGCATACTGTGTGAAGCAGTTTAAAATACATTTCCCATTTAACTCATTTGCATCTTTTATATACAGAAATAAATAGAAAGAATGATTTAAAATATCCTAAAATGACTTAGTTTTTTTCTATGAGATATTCAAAATTATTTTTTGCTGAAGTTTTTAGTTTATTTAAAAAAAAAAAAAACAAAACAAAAAAAAAAAAACAGTGCCAGGCAGTGATAGTCCACACCTTTAATCCCAGCACTCGGGAGGCAGAGGCAAACGGATCTCAGTTCCAGGCCAGCATGGTCTACAAAGTGTGTTCCAGGACTGTTACACAGAGAAACCCTGTCTTTTTCTTTTTAAAAAAGAAAAAATAATAATAATTCTGATTTAAAATGGTAGCTGTTAAGTAGCCTGAGTGTGGGAGCCTGTAATGCCCTGAGAAGCACAAAGAGCAGTCCACTGAGTGTGCACATGGGGAAGCAGAGCGGGCTGAAGCTCAGCTCATGAGGCCCTGCCTCCCTGTTGAGCCTCTATCAGGATTTCTGAATTGCTGCACTCTAACCAATGGAGATGGATCATAGAGCCCTTGGTTATGAGTTTTACTGGCTTGTGATTTGTGGCAGGTTGCAAAGTGTCCACCTTGAAATTAAACGAATTGACATGTATCTTTCAATGAATTGAATCTAGAAAATAAAATCAATAGGTTGAAACAGTTGTTGTGTTAATGGTTGACAAATAAGGAATAATTTAGGTAATTGTTGTTCCTGGCACGATGGATGCCTGTCATCCCAGCACTGCAGGAGTCGGGACATCCAGATCACAGGGTTCAGATCCGTGTGGGCTGTGTGAAACCCTGTCTCAAAGAAACCAAAACAATGGAAATAATCACTCATTATTAGTTGTGTTTAGCGAAAATAAAAACAAAAAAATCCTAGAAATATATAAGCTATTGTTATGTAAATATAATTGAAAATTCTTTATAAAGGCCAGGTTCTGGCCTATAATTCCAGTGAAGGTGGGAGGATCACAAGTTCAAGAAAAAGATGGAAAAGAGCAAGGGATAAAGGAAGAGTGGAATACTGAGGATGTTGTACTGATAGGGTGCTTGCCTAATACATATAAAGCCCTAGGCTTGATTCCCAGCAAAGAAAAGAAAAATAGTAAATGTAGGATAGCTTAGTAGGCATTTGAAACTAAGATTCTTGTTCTGAGATTTCTTGCTTACGGCATAGGGTAAAGTGCTCTGTAGAATGTTCCTGGATTTTTTTCACTGACCACTTAACTTGAAATGCTGGGTAGAGAGGGTCTGTATATAAGGTCATATGAGAGTAATTATGCAAAAGTAATAAATTTCCAATGATGGTTCACTCTGCGCAAGCACGTTATAGTTAGAAATTTACTAAATCCCGTTAGGTAGGTAACTTGTCCCTGTTTTAATGGATGTGATGGTGGAGGCACAAAGACATTTTCCATTGCTGTGTGCACAGCCCCCATCCTGGTCTGCTTTTGGGTTCTGGACCCTCATCACAGAGGGAGGAGGCATTAGTGCTGGTGGGTAAGGATCCCTGCCTGTATTCAGTGAAGAGCCACAGTAGACCAGAGCAATGGTGCATGCATGTGCGTGTTTTACCATGAAGTTCCTACACGGCAGTGGAGTCTACCTCTGTTGTTGAAACGCCTGCTCTATATGGTACTCCACGTCGGAGTTACCTGTGATACCTCCCAGGCTCACAGGCTGTCCCCAAACAACTCTTTGAAGCTTCAGGGAGGAGTTATTTTATCCTTCTCTCCTTACATTTCTAGTGGTCTTTCAGCTCTCAGCAGCTCCCTGAGTAGTCCACCCTTCATTCTGTCTCTAACACATGCAACAGGACAGAAATGGCAGAGTAAAGATCAGACCAGCTGGTCTCATGGTTTTCTGTGTATTAACTTCCTTCTTAGCAAGACTAGAAAACTCTCCTAGCATCTGCCTCCTGGAGGGGAAAATGGCAGTAAATTCTGCTTCGAGTTGGGAGTGAGCACTCACTAGGATGGTGAGGGGTAGTCAGGCCGCGTCTGCCTGTGGTAGTGGACAGACAACCTTTGTGGCCTCTTGCGGCAGCGTCTCCCCATTTCCTCTGAAGAACTGAACTGTCAGTTACTATTTTCCAGCCCTCCTTTTCACAGGACTAGAGCACCTGTCTCTCACATTGGCCTAGAACCCTCACCTGGAAGGCAGGAAGTGAGGAAATTCAGTCTTGGAGTGGAAGCTGCAGATGTGGTTCCAAAACCGAGGTCATTTCCCTGTCCTCAGGGACATAGGTGACAGAGTTCCACAGCATTGACTATGTTTTTTGTATAGATGTGACCAATGATGTTTGTGTCCCTGCCTTTCACACTTAATGTTAGCTAATAAACCCCCTCTTCCTCCAGTTTTAATAGGTTTCTGTTGTCATTTAGAAAGTTAAAGAAAGACAAATTTAGTTTTGGGGAAAACCAATAAAATTACTGGTTTTCCAGAGTGTGCTTGTGTACATAGCTAAACTATGCAGAGAAAGAGCATGTGCACGTACAGTCACATACAGCTTTGGAGCCTGGCAGATTCCAGACCTGAAGGATGGAGTTGAGTTGGAGACTCGGGAGAGAACCAGATGTTCAGATCTGAAGTCTGGCCGCTCCCAAGGTCTTGCTTATGGAGGTAGGGCTTTTCCAGTAGGGCTTTCACCTGATTGGAGGAGGTCTACCCCCAGCTGTCTCTCCAAGTCCGCTGTTCATCTCATCCAAAGCATCCTTCCTGAGTCATCTAGAGCATTTGGCTAAATAACTGTATACAGTGGCCCAGCTAAGTTGATAGAAATAATTAACCATTTCAAGTCCACCCCATGTCCACTCAGAATCTTTATGAATCTCTCTAAATCATAATCTTCAAATAGAGCCACAGCAAGATCATACTTCCGCCTAACTTGGTATGTTCAGCTGAAACTCTAGCGCCAGAAAAAGATGCCAAATCCTTCCTGGATAGTCTGTGACCTGAGTGCTATAATGTAAAGTTAACCAAGTTTTATACTAATGTAAGGCATACCTCATGTTAACTGTAGGAGATATGAGGGAAGAAAACTTACCTGTTAATATATGTATGTACACGTGTACACACCCAAATATAAGGAAGAAGCATGACAGGTACGGTTCTGTCTCCAACTGATCACATGCTTGTGCCTGGCATTTACTCCTATTGCACAGCTCATATTTCCTTTGCCTTCAGCAAACAACTCAGACGGGTGTGGTCTTGAGCTGGTGAGCCAACCCAGTCTTCTTCCTTGCGGGCGTGTCCCATTAGCGGTCCTGTCTGGATTGCATTGCTGTAATTTCCCGTTGACATTAATCACAGGGGAAGGGAAATGAAAGAGATGTCCTCCTCCGGATGCCTTCCTTCTGAGTTTTGTGAGATGGTTGTCCGATTTCTGCACGACAGGATCTTTCATTCTACCTGACACCATAGCTCCCGTTGCCTTTTCTGCATACTGATTTAGAAGCATGAGGAGCCCAGAGCAGCAGGGTGGCAGTCACCTGGGTCAATAGAGTTGCTGTTGTGTGTCCCCATACACGTTTTCCTTCCTTTGGGACTAAGACCTCCAGATGAACAGCATAAGGAAGCAAAAATTTTGCTTGTGAGTCACTCGGGGTAACAGTGACTAACCACCCAAATGGGCCCCTTTTTTCTGGACCTTTGAGCCTTGGCTATGCGAGAAAGTATCACATACTAGGCACAGCCAGCCTTCAAGACCCCTTGCCTTGACCTAGGAGGGAATTAATTCCCTCTGGTTCTGTAACTCGTCAAAAGTGATTTCACCATTCTGCCAAGCCAGCTGCTTCATGTGGGAATTGACTAGTGAAGTCCATGGACCAGGCCCACTGCTTCCCTTCAGTTGTGAGATGAGTTCCCTGGTCAAAATTCTGCCGCTGTGTGTAATCTGGTGGCTGTAAATGTGTGTGTGTGTGTGTGATAGGTTTCATCAGAAGTATTGTATGTGTGGAAGGCAAATCCTTCCCCAGAGTGCTGCTCCAGTAATAAAACACCATAACTTCCACGATGAAAGAACTGGTACCATCTTATAGGCTCAGTGTGTACCCAGGCGTGTCTGCAGCAGGTCAACCATGAAGGACACAGGTCTCTGTTTCTGAGCCCATGGTAGTCCCTGTCTATGCTGCCATAGTTATTTTGTGCATGGGCCCATCTGGCAATGACAATGTCTGGTAAAGAGACAGCCTGCTGTCCACAGAGAAAGTCATGTTCCCTGCTTTATTAGAGCTGTTCAAGGTTGAGGCTCCAGGAGCTGTCACAGCTTTACATTTTTGGCCCATTAAAAAGCTCTGCCCACATTTCTTCCCCATCTTTGCCTCCGATCTTCTAATTCTTTCTTCCATGACCATGGCCATCTAGCCAAATCATCAACCATTGGCCATGAAAACCCCCAAGTTCTAACATAGATAAGAATAATGGGTTAATATATAAGCTACAAGAGCAAATAAGAAGACTGAGCTAATAGGCCAATCAGTTTTATAACTAAAAAAAAAAAAAGCCCCCAAGTGTTGCTCCCTGGGAGAATTTCTCCCCCCACTGTTCTTCAGGGGCACATCGGGAAGGGTCTGTCTTGCTGGGTGTGCCTATTTTGGGGAAAGGTTTGCTTGTCGGGCAGAACCATGTTCTTACAAGCTAGTGTTCCCTTCCTCAGTTGTTCAGTTTACTCCCTTCTTGGGGCATTCAGGCTGAGCAAGGGAAGGCAGTGCAGTCCTAATGACAACCACATAGGTGTTCTTTATGTGTTTACTTTATGTGACTTGTATCATTGGGACTGCTTGTATGATTTCATGTGGCAATGGAGCGCTGCCACACATGCCAAACATTATGAATTGATGGGTCAGGTAACACCCGGTGCCTGTTGGGAAGGGGCTGTGTGCTTAGTGACCTGTGAGTAAGCCCAGTAATAGGTTCAAAGATGTTTCTCAAGAGGAGAGTTATGGGCTGGAGACTCAGTAGCTAAGAGCACTGGCTGCTCTTCCAGAGAATCTGGTTTCAATTCCCAGAATCCACACGGTGGTTCACAACCATCTGTATAGCTCCAGCTTCTGAGAAACCAATTCTG